GCAATTACAATGATAACAGTAGCAACAAAAGTGTAAAATGAATTTAAATTGAATCAACTTACAGTAGTATGTGAGGATGTTGCTAACTGTTGTTTTCGTATAGGATGAGGGAAACGTCCAGTAACATGGTGAGAGCTGGATACATGATACAATGGTTAAAATTATATAAAATATGACAAGACAAGTTAAAGACAGATTAAAAATTATTTAGAAAACATTAGAGCATTACGTCGTGAAGCCACTTGATGATTGCACAAAATGGTGGTCATGGAATAATGAGTGAGATGAACCTTTGACAGAAGGCCGAAGGTTGTCAATGTCTGTGTTGAAAGATGGAACGAATTGTGGGCGTGTGCCAAAACGTTGCCAAATCACTTCAGATGATGTGATTTTCAGAATGTTATGTAAGAAATTGTTAAACCGACCAGAGGCAGTTGAATAAACTATATTTTAATTAATATATATATATGTATCAAATAAAGGGATTGAAACTGCAATAGAGCTGTTAAATAATGATGTAAAAAACGTAATAAATTGGTTAAATGTAAATAAACTAAACACAAACAAAACAAAATATATGCTAATAGGAAAATCTTTAGATCAAAATACGATAAATCTTACAATTAATCATGAAAAAATTGTGTCAATCGAATCATTTAAATATTTGGGCATATACGTAGACAATAAATTAAAATTTGAAGGACACTATGAATATATTATTTTATATCCATGAAAATAAATTACTTTTATAGAATTTCGTTTATTCTAAAAAAACACTATCATTCTTCTTCATTTGTTATATTGTTCGACTATTTTGTTCACTGCATAGAAACTGTATTTTCAAAATTACAAATATTACAAAATAAAGCTATGAGAATCATCTTAAATAAAAATAAATATACATACTAGAATAAATTTTATGCTGAAAGAACTACAATGGTTAAATATCAATTATTCCATAGCCTATTTGGTTTTCATTTTCATATTCAAGTTGAAAAATCATCTTCTATCAAATCACTTAGAAAATTTTATTGTATTGAACAATGAGTGCCACAATTAATCTACTAGAGGAAGTATAAACTTTTACTTACAAAACTGCAGTAGCAATATAACGATCAAGTCAGTATTTCAAAAGAGATAGTACGAATTTAATAAATTAAGTAATGATATCAAGATGTTCAAAGGGAAATTGAAAAAATATCTCATGGAAAACCATAATTCATAGTAGTGAAATTTTGTATAAAAATATGTAGTCTTGAAGACATAATATATTTTGTGATATGCTGTGTAATATGGATATTATGGACATTGCAGCATTAATGCTAAATAAATCTGAAACAAACAAACAAATGTTTTAAAAGAAACAAAAATAAGAGTGTCATGAAAGGAATAACAATTGCTACTCAAAAAAATCTGACTTTGACATAAGTTGCTTGAAGCAGTGCGTAAGTAATGATCGTAATTATTCGAAGTATTTTTTAGAGTTTTAAGCTATAAAATTGCTAATATTGGAAAATGGTTCAATTTACAAACACTGAAATGGCCGATATGCATTTTGTTTATGGAATAACTCAAGGCAATCCCATCATTTTTTTTTAATTTGTCACCCTGTATCTTGAAAATGAAACAAGAATAACCTCTTGAACTTTGGACACGTACTAATTTAACACCTTGTATCTTGAGAATGAAGCAAGAATAACCTCTTGAACTGCACACGTACTAATTTAACACCTTGTATAGAATAGTAAAATGATTCGTGAATAACACATAGAATATCCTATCCTAAGGCGTTTTCATCTAAGGGTAAGAAAGATTGATTTACGAGGGATGTCTTTTAAGTGTTGCATATAGAAACATAGTAGGCCGCGCGGATCGAACGTCAGTACTGAATCTTAACCTCACTCTTTAGTAAACTTAAATTCATATGCAAAACTTAAAAGACATCCCTCGTATTCCACTTTTCAGGGCAATGTAAGTGTTAACTTTCTAGATTCTAACAACTGCGTTATCTACAAATTTTAAACAACAATTAGATTCTTGTATTGACTTTACCTTCTCCTAAAGACAAATATACTGATTCCTATTTTTGGCCTCACACAACCTTCTAAAATCTCTGAAATGATTGATAATCATACTATTACCTCATAAAAGAAATTCTGGAAAATCGTCTGAAAAAATAAATTAAACTCCATCCTTTTATAAATATTCAGGAAATAATGTTCTACCATAAACATAATAATTTTTCAGCAATTATATACAGGCATTTTTCTTTGTATCTACTTTTTGTATATCATCGGAAAATAATTTACCATAGCTCACGACGGAAATATGTCTACGCTTCTTTATTATCGCTTGAGCATTCTCGTCTTTTGGCAGAGACTAGACTCTATGTTAAAATTTGAGCCTATAAATGAAAGCAGAGAGTTAGGACACGATTTCTGTTACGCTCAAAAACAGACAAATCAGCAAACACCCGCGCAAGATGTGAGGTTATTCTTTTTTCAAATGTGTACAACAGAACTATGCTTCATGGTAAGACAGACGACGGTAGAACGATAAACATGAAAACAACAAACCCGCCTTAAAAGATTTCAAACTACCATCCTGTACAATTTTATTTTACTGCAAGGACAGTACGTAAACAATGCGATATGGGCAACAATGTCAGGTAACCAATAAACTACAACCAATAGCAGAGTAACACTGCAGTTTGGTACACTACTTGATTCTATACTATAACTATCTAAAACTGTAATGACTCATCGATGTTCACGTGAACATCACATAACTACCAGTAGTCGGCTGTTCATAGGCGGGGTATGAATGTTTGAATGTGAACTAGATTTGTCACATGCTTAATAAAGAGTGGTTTGAAACATATTGTAAGTAAAAAATTTGGGAATTACCTTTATTCATCGTCGCTATCGCTTTCCTCGTTGAAATTGACTATAACTGGCTCTATGATGGTGTCGATGTGGTGGTCAAGCTGCCACATTTTTGTTTCTTCCTTCACAACATGACGGATAGCATTCTGCTAAGCTTCGGGCGTTACTAGCTGTATGGAAGTCTCAAGTAAAACCTTAACGTCTGGTAATTTGAAGGTTGTGTTATGGCGCGCAATATAACCCTTCACTTGAGCCCAGATGAGCTCTATTGGGTTCAGTTCACAGTGGTAGGGCGGTAACCGCAGCACAGTGACACCACATTGACGGGCCATCTCATCAGTCACGTAACTAATGTTCGCAGGTTTGTGCTGTTTAATTTTTTCATACAATTCCGCTTTCACACATGAACCGTCAAACGGGATTCCTTTTTCGCACAACCATTGCTGCATGTCACTTTTTCGAGATCCCATAGTCGGTACACGTTCGGCTCGACGACTATGGTAGGAAGCATTATCCATGACGATCACAGAGTTGGGCTCAACTCGCTGAAGCACCCCTTGAAACCAGCTCTCGAAGCAGCTGGCATTCATTTCGTCGTGGTAATCACCTCCTTTCTTAGAGACGAAAATCAAGTCACACTCTTCTAAAAAGCCACTATCGCTACCAATATGAGTTACGATCAATCTTTGACCTTTCCTTGACGGTCCACGAAGACCTGTTGACAAACCTTCAATGCTTGCTTGTCGGTTACTCACTACGTTTTTGTCTATCCAGGTTTTTTTAACTGTGTGACCTGCATTTACCCATGTCTCGTCCAAATAATAGATTTTTCTGCTTTGTCGCCCATATTCAATCATCTCGCGTAGGTATTTTCGACGCCAGGCGACTATTTCAGGTCTCTCTATCAATACTGACTTCCGATTACGCGTTTCGTAACGAAAATTAATTTCGTGCAGGGATTTCCTCATTACCTCGACGCTCATTTGGGGTATAATTTCATTTTCCTTGATCGCTGCATGTACAGCCTTGAGGGTTGGTATCTCATTCCTAAAGAAGAATGAATGTACGGTTCGCCTTAACGCCATTTTGCTATCGTCATCCAATTTAACGGCCTTTCGTCCCTTCAAATTAAACTTTGGATCAGTAGTAGCTCCATTTTTCTTCTTTTCATGCACCACCCTGCGAATGATCCACTCTGGAACGCCTGTCATACTTTCACAACGCGCGAGTGCATCTCCCTGCGACATAGTTCTGTTCAGATAATTGAACACGATTTCTTTCGCGTCCCTCTTCAGTGCTTTACGAAGCCGGCTACTTGTTCCCTGGCTTTCAGTACTTCCACTCGTGCCATTTGTACTCTCCATGGTTAAGTATAACCAAAACAGTAACCACAGAAACCACAACAATAACAATCACACAACAATTCTTATAAAAACACACAATATGCGATCGCTCAACGAAACACGTTCGAATGCGTTGCCGACGCCTATGAGTCTGCCGGTCGAGGCGCGTCTTTGATTTCATTGGTTCTACCGGCGGAGAACAATCAGCCATTATTTCCATCTCTGTCTGTGCTGTTGACCACCGCAAAGCCACAGAAACGACATACTGTACTGGAAGGAAGCCGGGATCGAGCTCTGATCACGTGTTGATCACGCGTATGAGTCATTACAGTTTTAAATAGTTGTAGTATAGAAGCTATCGTTATACCCGTTTACGTGTAAATGACTCCAGTAAAAGCTTACCCTGGAAGCTTGTTTCTTTGACACGACATTTATGTTTTAGCTTTTTCCACTGTCTGTTATGATACGTGGACATGTCTTGACGAGGAAAAGCATTGTACTTTCTTTGTCAAAAAGAAATTATACAATTTGCTCGTTTATTAATTCGAATCACGGGTTAGTGTATATGGTTAATGTAGTGGTCGGTATAGGTGTTATAAACACCGAAACTTTACGTATACTTGTGGCAATTTGGATTGCGCTTTGTTACTTTTTTACTTTTATAATTAGAATGCTTTGCTTTTATATGTCCAATAAAACGTTCCCACATGCTATATTTATTTCACTTGCCGAGAGGTATAATGTAATATCCGATTTATGTTTAAAATAGCAAGTTCAAACGAGTAAACTTCTTTGTACAGCATTTGTTCTCATTTATTGTGATGTATGTGTCCGTTAAAATACTCTACTTGTTTTCTCTTTTTTTCAGGAAAATCCCTGTGGCAATTAGTTTTAGAACAATTCGATGATCTTCTAGTCAAGATTTTATTATTAGCCGCTATTATTTCTTTCGTAAGTATTTCATTATTTAAAAGCACCATAAAGATAGTAATGTATCAGCGTATTCTAAGTTGTTCATTTGATTCTCCCTTATAGAATCTTTCGCTAAAATGTTTTGATAAAGCATAATTTAGTATCGATAAGAAATAAGTGAACTTAGGGCCGATTTCACCAACATTAATATTATGACAGAAGCTGTCAAAGGTCTCTGAATATTAGTGATTTCTATTGAAATATTGAATAAAATCGTGAAAATTCGACTGTATTATAAACAAGACCACTTTTTGATTCCAACATGATGCTTTTGTACAGAAAAAACAGGACAACTTTCATGTATTTTGATATATGTCATAGGTTTACATTTAACAATCCGTTATCCCCTCAGCGAATGCGGCAAATAATAGGCCGATTTTCTAGCTGTTAAATTTGGCAGCAGATTTGGACGCTGTTAATGCATGGCACTCTCGAATTTACCAACTTCAATATACTGAAAGTTATCATTACATACCTGTTGAATAGTGTGGATTTGTCTGAAGTTTGCAAGAAAATAGAATATAAAATACATTCCATCCAATTCCTCATCTTCCTTTACATCATAATAGGTTTTAGGTTTGCTGGTAGCTTTAAGGCATATATTTGGGAATTTCTTAATCGCTGTGAATATAGTGTGGATGTTTGTTCAGTTCCTGAACAACGAAAAATATTCAACTTTATGGATGTATGGATATTAGTGATTTCTATTGATATATTGAATAAAATCGTGAAAATTCGACTGTATTATAAACAAGACCACTTTTTGATTCCAACATGACGCTTTTGTACAGAAAAAACAGGACAACTTTCATGTATTTTGATATATGTTATAGGTTTACATTTAACAATCCGTTATCCCCTCAGCGAATGGAAATGCGGCAAATAATAGGCCGATTTTCTAGCTGTTAAATTTGGCAGCAGATTTGGACGTTTGTTAATGCATGGCACTCTCGAATTTACCAACTTCAATATACCGAAAGTTATCATTGCATACCTGTTGAATCGTGTGGATTTGTCTGTATTTTGCAAGAAAATAGAATATAAAATACATTCCACCCAATTCCTCATCTTCATTTACATCATAATAGGTTTTAGGTTTGCTGGTAGCTTAAGGCATATATTTGGGAATTTCTTAATCGCTGTGAATATAGTGTGGATGTTTGTTCAGTTCAATTCCTCATCTTCCTTTACATCATAATAGGTTTTAGGTTTGCTGGTATATATTTGGGAATTTCTTAATCGCTGTGAATATAGTGTGGATGTTTGTTCAGTTCAATTCCTCATCTTCCTTTACATCATAATAGGTTTTAGGTTTGCTGGCATATATTTGGGAATTTCTTAATCGCTGTGAATATAGTGTGGATGTTTGTTCAGTTCAATTCCTCATCTTCCTTTACATCATAATAGGTTTTAGGTTTGCTGGCATATATTTGGGAATTTCTTAATCGCTGTGAATATAGTGTGGATGTTTGTTCAGTTCAATTCCTCATCTCCTTTACATCATAATAGGTTTTAGGTTTGCTGGCATATATTTGGGAATTTCTTAATCGCTGTGAATATAGTGTGGATGTTTGTTCAGTTCAATTCCTCATCTTCCTTTACATCATAATAGGTTTTAGGTTTGCTGGCATATATTTGGGAATTTCTTAATCGCTGTGAATATAGTGTGGATGTTTGTTCAGTTCAATTCCTCATCTTCCTTTACATCATAATAGGTTTTAGGTTTGCTGGTAGCTTTAAGGCATATATTTGGGAATTTCTTAATCGCTGTGAATATAGTGTGGATGTCATCGAGTAGGTGCTTAATGGCTATCTGCAAAAGGTTTATAGGAAATAACACCCAGTATCGCATATCAATTGAAGAAAATAATATAAACATGAATAAAAAATCAACAATAGTAAATTAAACATGAATTTAATTCAAAAATCCAACATTTCTTTAAATCTTGACTGAATTATATGTAATTTCTTAATATTCAATAAGCTGGTGATGTTTCAATGACAAGTTGTCATCTCATACTGTGACAGTATTTTGTTTTCAACATTTCATAGCTATTGGTTGCTAAAATTAAAAATTAAAATTAAATTTATGACCTTGACCTTGATTGTAGTTCCATCCTTTTTCTTTTTGCTTTATCAATTAATTTTTGAAATTATTTATACAATAGGTAAGCTAAATGATAATCAACGCAGTACAGTAGAAAAAAGTAAATACTGCGATTTCTCACCTTTCAGGTAACCCAAAAACTACTAACAATATCACAGCAACACTGTAATTAGGTTCACGACGCGCACTAATTGATTTTAGAAGCGTCCGTTATACCCGTTTGCGTGTAAATGAAAGCTTAATCTGGGAAGAAGTGCCAAGAGGAGTGGAATATTTAACATAAAGGGCCTATTTTCGCAGCTCATTGTATTTTGAACAAGTCATGCCGTGTCACATTCATATTATGTGGATCGTTATGATTGTAGATGATATACTCAACTTTTTCTAATTACTTTATAGACAACAGATCATAACAAAAATTCACTAGGAAGTGCGATTCTAACAAAGGCCGTGTGTGGTATTTTCAGTGTATCATCACTTTTTCAAAATTGTTGGCAATGTAAACGTTTGGACTGAAAGATAAATTGAAAATTTAATGGAATCATAATTTTATTTTACATAAATATGGAGACCTTACAATGTTTCCATAAAATATTATATTTATGCTAGCCGTAAATGTTGCAAATAGAGAAAGCGTCAATTTATATTCGGTTGTTTTTTGGTGCCGCGTACATTTTGTTCCTAACAAAAATAGACCGTTGCAACTAGAACATCTGGTGATGGCAGGCATTTATAAAGCAGATGCGTAATCGGCTTACGTTTCTCAATTTTTTTCTCTTCGGTTTGTTTACAAGAAACATCGGAATGCGTCTTATGTTGTATGCTTTCGATGACAGATGCAAAAGCATACTTTCGGCCAGCTGACAGACGGGCTGTTTTGATCATACGCGTGACGCTGATTCGTAATTTTATTTTATCGACGGATACAATCCTTGTTACAAACACAAAACAGCCAAGAACTACATTTTAATGTTCTTAACACTTCGTTTAAACTCATTAACACGAGTTTCAAATATTTCCAAACCAGATATACATACTCGGTGACTGAAGTATTACACCCAGAAAAAATAGTTTCGTCAACTTGATTTTTTGGCAATGAGGTAGTCTTACTTCAAGAATGAAACGATAGCATTCTCACGAAAATGTATTAACAATAAAAAAAAAGATTAGTAATGTGTTGGGCGCCTAGACATCGACAAAATGAGATGATCGATGTCTTACTCCAACAGTCCTGTGAACATGCCTCTATGTCCATCGTGCGTACCTGGACACTTCTGTCACTGAGTATATATCAAATGTTGTAAGTCAAAGCGTACAATTCTAGAAATGTCTTATGCAACCACAAGTACACATCACAAAATAGCTGGCTATCTAACATTCAAGGCAATCAAGTATACAACACTTAGCAACATAGTCACTGTTTCTTTTTTTAATCACTGAGTATCTGATCTACAAGTAAACTGCAATATCGCATCTCTGATGTTGGAATCAAATATGTCAGATTATAGACTTGCCTTTTTTACAAGCATTAGCGTAAACCACCTGTATAGATGGTGTCCGCAAAGTTGGGGTTTTCCTTTTCAGAAACAACTACCCTTGAAGTAACAAAGGTAATGTGTAGTGAAACGAGGGCGACCAAGTAAAAAAAAAATAAAGGAAAAAGTACTCACTCTCCAGTTGACGAGAAGGGCTAAGTACGTCTCTGTCCGAAATCATTCCGCTCCAACAGAAAATGAAATCAGCTGATGCGCTACCGAGCAGACGCAGGCAAACAAGGAAGGCAAAATGTTGCGTACAAAGTCTAGGTATTGCATCCCGTCCAATCGATTTGGTCCAATGAGCATACTGTTCACCATGCCAGCCCAAACATTCACCGAAAATGTTTGTTGAAAATGTGCCCGACGGACAGCGTGCGGATTTTCTACTGACCAAACATGAGTGTTGCGTAACTTATTCACCCCATTACGCGTGAACGTAGATTCGTCTGTCACCAATATGCACTTCAAAAAGTCCGGATTATTGTCATGTTGATGCAACAACCACTCACAAAACCGCACTCTCGCTGGAAAATCGTCAGGTTGAAGGGCTTGTACACGTTGGACGTGAAACGGATACAGCCCCTCTTCACGCAGCGTTTGCCACACTTCAGTTTCTGATACTTGCACTTCTCTAGCCACGTCTCTAGTGCTTGTTGAGGGATTCTCGTCTACGCGTTTACCTCTACACGCGTGACCGTAACCGTCGGTTGAAGGTTGCATACTGACCTGACACACTGACCCCGACCCAGTTCTGCCGTCGGGTTGAGACCTTGTACCAGTCGGGGATATCGCGACGGGTCGCGGCTACAGGACGGTATTCAGATATTTTTGATGTTGCAGAGCCCTTTATCTCGGTTCCCTTAAGACATTGGTGTATATGGTACTAAGAAAAATTGCTTATGTTTTCAAGATCTACACGTCATGTAAAGGAAAACCCCAACTTTGCGATATCTGCGTAATATTTAAATTACTTTTTTCAATGTTTTTCTTTCTTACAGGTACTCGCTTTATTTGAAGAGAACGACGGATCAATCACAGCCTTCGTAGAACCTTTTGTAATTTTACTTATCCTTATCGCAAACGCTGTAGTAGGAGTATGGCAGGTAAGCAAAGAATTTCACGTATTTCACCTAAAAGCAAAAAAATAACGCGATGGCGGCTTTACGAATTACTTAGGTCGAACAAACAAAACTATAGACTGTTAATGACTGAGCAGCTGTTCTCATTGCGCTTCTACATACGGTAGCCTTTCACAGCGCGGCTGATATATGGGTCACCGGACATAAGCTGGGATTTTGTAGTTTACGGCCCTGTTTCGTTTCGTTTTCTTTTAATTGGCGAGCTCTTAGTACATGAAAATATGAGCCAGTCACATTTAGGCATACATTGTTTTGTTTGTTTGTTTAAAGCTACAAAGTAACACAAATCTATGAAATAAGAAGTTGCTTTGAGGACGCAAAAAATCATATATTGTCGTTTGTCTCATCTTTTTCTTTGAAATGGCGTCTTGAAATCGCATTTCTATTTAGAAAGAAGCTCCAAAGATTCTGTATCTCCCTGATTTTCGACAAAACTTTTGAGCTGCTTGGTCAGGGTAATAGCGTTACCATAATTTGGAATAGCTTCTGTTGGTACTGGAACCTCATCGACATCAGAATCAAACTTTCATCTAGGTTCAAAAAATCATAAAGCATTGTCAGTCAATTTCAACAAATTCTTATTTTTGAGGATATCTCAACAGGATATGTATGTCATCTTCAGGGTCAAGTGTATCAGCCTCATTTAACTGGTCTTCACTTTGCATATCTTCATGCTTAAACCCTGCTCTACGGAAGCAATTTTGCACTGTATCTTTGGTCCGCAGCGTTTTTTTTTTCATTCAAATTCCAGTTATACATCCATTTATTTAGAAGAATTTCTTTATGTTTAATTATAACGGGTGATTTTTTAAGAGGTATAGGATTTGATTTGAAAATTTACACCCAAATCCTGTCGCAAAATTTTCCACGTAGTGGAGTAACAGAGGCCCAATTGCTGCGAACGGCGGCGAATCGACATTTCACGGTCATCACTAACACTGGCGGATACAGCCGCAATATTTTCTTCAGTCCTCACTCTACGTCTGCGTGTTGGTGGTTTAATGTCCAATAATGTAAACTTTGTTCGAAATTTAGTCACAAGCTTCCGAATAGCTCCCTCAGTAGGCCGACCAAATTGCCCATAAATTGGAAGCAGTGCTCGATGCACTCTCTTAACCGAGCATGAATTTTGATAGTAAAATTCAATAATTTGCAAGCGTTGTTCGTTCGTAAGTCGATTCATGATTAAATTATAGGCCAAACTGAACAAGTTTGACAATGACACAAGACACGATTCACGCGTCATCTGTCAAAAACAGTGTTGCCACAAAGATACTAGCAAAAAATCACCCATTATCTGCAGCGTCCAATATTGTGTTACAGGAAAGAAACGCCGAATCAGCCATCGAAGCCCTGAAAGAGTACGAGCCGGAGATGGGCAAGGTCATCCGGCAGGACAAATCGGGCGTCCAGAAGGTCAGGGCGCGAGACATCGTCCCCGGAGACCTGGTCGAGGTGTCGGTCGGCGACAAAATCCCGGCTGACATCCGATTGACGAAGATCTACTCGACGACGCTGCGTATCGATCAGTCCATCCTAACCGGCGAATCGGTCTCCGTGATCAAGCACACGGACCCCGTACCGGACCCGAGGGCTGTCAACCAGGACAAGAAGAACATCCTGTTCTCCGGTACCAATGTAGCTGCCGGTAAGGCCAGGGGTATCGTCATGGGTACCGGCCTTAACACTGCTATCGGTGAGTACGATTGTTTCCAAAAATAATTGCAAAAACTTGAACGGTTGCTGTGACTTGTCTGATCGCCCTATAGAAAATACAGAACCACCCCATCTTTCCGCTTCCAGGTAAAATCCGTACGGAAATGTCCGAGACCGAAGAAATCAAGACGCCCCTGCAACAGAAACTGGACGAATTCGGCGAACAGCTGTCCAAGGTGATCTCGATCATCTGCGTGGCCGTGTGGGCCATCAACATCGGCCATTTCAACGACCCGGCGCACGGCGGATCATGGATCAAGGGTGCCGTGTACTATTTCAAGATCGCTGTCGCGTTGGCCGTGGCCGCCATCCCCGAAGGTCTGCCGGCTGTCATCACCACGTGCCTGGCCTTGGGTACGAGGAGGATGGCCAAGAAGAACGCCATCGTCAGATCGTTGCCGTCCGTCGAGACCTTAGGTTCGTATATTCTTTGTATTCCATTTTTTTTTCAAAAAGCAGCTGGAAGTAAAGTAAATGTTATTTGTTTTGCATAAGTCTATTAACAATTATATATAAGAATATCAGCATGGTTTCATGAATGGTAGGCCAACTTACCGGTTTTTACGTCAAATATTTTGGATTTTTCAAAGGCGTTTGATGGTTTGATAACACAATATCCTTATTAGAATCTTATTTACAGAATCGTAGGTTATTTATCTCTTATAACTATTTCGAGTCTCTTCGTTATACAGCATCGTCGGGAGTACTAGAGGATTCAAATTTGGTACCATTGATCTTTTTGCTTTTTATCAATGATGTATCAATATTGATATTTGTCGATGACTTAAAATTGTTGTGATCTTTAATTTTTTTGTTTACCTTCCCTCTCCAGTCTGAGTCGGGGCGTTTCGACGTCGGCGCGGTTTTTCTGGTTTAAGAGGACGAAAAACGATTGAAAACGCGGTTAAAGTCTAAAAAACGGTAGTTTTTCGCATAGTACGAAGACTTTGGAAGCCTACATTTCGCTGCTTGTCAAAATATCGACTCGAGCTCGATCTCAATCGATAGCTAAATGATGAGTGATCCAATTAGGGCGGTCGTTTTTTCAATTCGCATCTTAGTTTTTTTTCTACAAATTTTCAAAGAAAAAACGAGAAAAATAGCGGATTTTCGTAAAAAAGCTGATAACTTCTCTAAGGCAAAGAGAAAAGAAATTTCGCGTAGCGCATTTTGTACATCTCGATGAATACTATAAATTTCGTGGAGAGAGTTTTTCCCACTTAGGGCACCCGTTCTGAATAAAATAATTTCAAACGTAGGCTTTTTTGGGTCGCAAACGTGCTTTCCGATATTCAACATCTATCTCCTCCGAAGATAACGGAGCTACGGACCTAGCGATTTTTGCGTGAGAAAGCCCAGACATCGTATATTTGGAACGCGGATTTTTTATCTCTTCATTCCTTTCCGTTCAAAAGTTTAGATTTATTAAAATTTCTTGACAAAATGCTACATGACCCTCTTTGCTTTCGATTTTTCCATACTTTCGATTGAAGTTTTGCAATCCGCGTCCGCCAAGAGGAATTTCTCTGTAATGAACTTGAAATTGTCCGCAATTTACATTTCAGGATTTAAAAAAGTTTCCGTTAAAAATTCATTTGATCTTCAAATTACCTTGATGGTCCTAGTGAAGGCCATGGACATGCGTGGACATAAAGTTTATTTTATTTCCAGTACCAAACATAGAAGTTTCCATTTGAGAAAACTGTATTGTCATTCAAACGAGCTTGAAGGTCATAGTCAAGGTCACCATTAGATGAATCTTTCCAAACCTTACAACTTTATTGTACAATAACGAAATATTTTGTCCTTTCCCTATATTCTTAAATGATCATGGGCAAAAACATACTTTAACGTAAAATTTATTCGTCTACATTTCCGATGTCAAAGATAAGAGTTTCAGAAAACCGCATTGACCTTAAAATAACCTTGAAGATCACAGTCAAGATCGCACCTCTCTGTCGTCTTGTTCATCAATAAGCAAACTATTGATTACAGGTTGTACATCCGTCATCTGCTCTGATAAGACTGGAACACTGACCACCAACCAGATGTCCGTATCGCGCATGTTCGTATTTGAAAAAGTTGAAGGCAATGACAGCAGCTTCCATGAATTCGAAATCACTGGCTCCACCTATGAACCTGTCGGCGACGTATTCTTGAAAGGACAGAAGGTAAGAAATTACATTATACCTCAACTTATTTTTATAGTTCATACATTCATAAAAAAATAGGCTATTGCCCTTGTACAATGTCTACTTGAAGTGCTCATATGCTATTTTTATGGAGGAAGATGCAACTAGCTGACAAAAGTAGGAGTAAGCGAGGTCATCACAAATACTAAGAAAGTATCAATCTAACGGATATTATCCTTACCACAAAGCATGTCTGGGAGGCCATGAGATGGAAGATTGCATAGAGGGAAGACCCGAAATCATTGAAGAATCGTATTTCATTGTTATATTTCTATTCAAGGTGAAGTGCGGCGAGTTTGAGGCGCTCCAAGAGTTGGGCACGATCTGCATCATGTGCAACGACTCGGCCATCGACTACAACGAGTTCAAACAATGTTTCGAAAAGGTCGGTGAAGCTACCGAGACCGCTCTGATCGTCCTCGCCGAGAAGATGAACCCTTTCAACGTTGCCAAGGTTGGAGATCGACGACAGGTCGCCATCTGCGTCAGGCAGGACGTCGAGAGCAAATGGAAGAAGGAATTCACCCTGGAATTCTCCAGAGACAGGAAATCGATGTCTTCGTACTGCGTGCCTCTGAAACCGTCCAGGCTGGGAAACGGACCGAAACTGTTCGTCAAGGGCGCCCCAGAAGGTGTTTTGGATAGGTCAGTAAATGAACAAAGCTAAGATTTGTCCATTACGATTACCATTCTTGATTTCCAGATGCACTCACGCTCGCGTCGGCAGCCAGAAGGTACCGTTGACCAGCACATTGAAGAAGCGCATCGTCGAACTGACCGCCCAGTACGGTTGCGGTAGGGACACGCTGCGTTGTCTCGCCCTTGCGACGGCTGACAACCCCCTGAAACCGGAAGAGATGGACCTGGGAGACTCGACCAAGTTCTACACATACGAAGTGAACCTGACGTTCGTCGGTGTCGTCGGTATGTTGGATCCCCCGCGTAAGGAGGTCAAGGATGCCATTCAGATGTGCCGTAAAGCTGGTATCAGGGTCATCGTCATCACTGGTGATAACAAGGCTACAGCTGAGGCTATTTGCAGGTGTGTATTTTTCGGGGTAATTTTGGAATACCAAGGAATATGTCAAGCTTATTTTCACCAATTTCTAGATGTCTGTATAACTTGAAAATTTGCGCAGAGGTCAAGGGTCCATGACAATACAATATTCTTAGAAATACACAGGGTGACTTCGAAGTTGAGTCATTTATTTTAACAGTGAGTAGATCTGATCAAAAGAAATGTTTTTTCCTTTACCATTTTTCTGGTAAAATTAAAGTAACAAAGTTATAGCCCTTTGGAAGTTTGAGTACCGCCCTGTCTCAATAATAATATTATGTGCTCGTGTTTGGCAACAACGGATATAATCCGCCTTATCGGTTCATCGCATCGGAAACAAAAAAGCGAAAGAATTTGGAACGATGTTTTTACAATTATTTTATTCAGTTGAATACAGTCAGTGTCAGTCGGTAACGCGTGAGTGAATAGTGGTGTCTGTTGCGTGGCTCAAACGAAATCGAAAATGGCACATGTTTACGAAAATGCTGAACTTGTGGACATGATTCTTATTTACGCGGCATCATGGATTTCTGCGGATCGGTTTCCCAATCGAGTGCAACCAACCCCTCGTGCCTTTGTTCATGTAGTACAAAGGGCTCGTGAATCAGGTGACTTAAGACCTCACAGGGGAGGGCATGCCGGTGCTCCAACACCGCACGATCAAATACATTTTTTTTTATTTTTACACACATATTTTGGTTTATCTTCTTTCTACAATCATTATCTGAAAATTAATGACTCAACTTCAAAGTCACCCTGTAGATTTGATAATTACTAAAATAATTGAAATTGAGAAAAATGTGGATTTTCAAATTTGGAAAATGCTGGAAAATTTCGAAAATTTGGAAAATAGTTCATTTATAAATTTTGAAAAGAAATAGGAATTTAGGATTTTTTTTGAAAAGAAATTGGAATATTTTTTACATCGAAGCAGATCAACTTGAAAATTTGCACAGAGGTTAAGAGCTTTGAAAAAAATCCAATTTTAAAAATTTGAAATTTCGAAGCAAATTTGGATTCGAAATTTAAAAAAAAAATTCAATTTGATATGGAAAATATTTGTAAATATCGGAAATTATGAAAATAATTTGAGGAATCGGAAATTAAAAAAAAATGAAACTTGATATTTGGACAAAAAATTTAGAATTCTGAAATTTTTTTGGAAAATCTGAAATTTGTAGAAGAACTTTGACTTAAAAATTGAGAATAAGGAATATTTTGTTATACCGAAGTAGATTAACTTAAATATTTACACAGAGGTGAAGGGCCGATGACTATACAATAATCTTCGAAAAAAATCGAATGTGATTTTTTTAACAATTTGAAATTAGGAAAAAAAATGTATTTGAAAATTTGTAAGAGAAATCGGATTTGATTTGGAAAATACTTGGAGTATTCGGAAACTTGGAAAATAATTTCATGATTTGCAAATTTTGAAAAAAATTAAAAATTTTGGTATTTGGAAAGAAATTTGGACCAAAAATTAGGAATTTCGGATTATGATATTTTTTGGGAAATTCTGAGATTTGGAAAGAAATCTGGCTTAAAAATTCTGAATATTTTACACTAAAGCAGATTAATTTGAAAACGTCAAGGGCCGGCGACAAATACAATAATCTTGAAAAAGCTATCGAATTTGCAAATATTTTAAAAATTTGAAATGGATTTAAAAATTTGTATGAAAAATTGAATTTGATCTGGTAAAATACTTGAAAATTGCGGAAATTTGGAAAATAATTTGAAGATTTGGAAATTTGGAAAACTTTGAAAATTTTGATATTTGAAAACGAATATGGACAGAAAATTAGGAATTTCGGATTTTGATTTTTTTTTGAAATACAGAAAATTAGGAATTTCGGATTTTGATTTTTTTTTGAAATACTGAAATTTGGAAAAATTTGACTTAAAAATTGGGAATTGGGAAAAAAATTTTTACGCTGAAGCGGATTAACTTAAACATTTGCACAGAGGTCATGGATGGATGACAATACAATAATCCTGGAAAAAAAACGAATTTGAAATTTTTTCAACAATTTGAAATTAGGAAGAAAAATTGGATTTGAACATTTGAAAGACAAATGGTATTTTTGAAAATTCGGAAATTTGATTTGAAAATTTTGAAAAAAATTGGAAATTTAGATTTTTGGAAAGAAATTTGGACTTAAAAATATTGAGAAGTTGGAACAAAATATGAATTTTAAATTTGGAAAATAATTGTAAAATTCGAAAATTTGGTAAATAATTTGAGGATTAAAAAAATTATATTTTTAATAAATTTTGGATATTTTAAAATTTGGAAATCCAACAATCAAGTGTAACTAATTAATTTATTTGGACTAAGACCCATTAAGATTTAAAAAAAAAATCGTGAGAGCAATTTACTATATTTTCATAACTCCAATTTTGTAATAGCAGCTAAAATACCAAGGAGTGTAATGGAATAAATATTGCAATCTAATATTCACCAATTTCAAGAAGTCTGATTAACTTGAAAATTTGGACAGGGCTCAAGAGCCGAAGACAATACAATAATCGTGGAAAAATTAGAATTTGAAAATTTATAAAAAAGATTAATTTTGAAATTTGGAAAAAATTGTATTTGAAAACTTGTAAAATTCTTGGAAATTTTGGAACTTTGGAAAACAATTTTACAATTATATTTAATTAAAAAAAAAACAAGAATTTCGAGTTTACAAATGTTTTGGAAATTCCAAAATTTGACAAGAAATTTGAGTTAAAAATTGGTAAGAAAGGCGCCCCTTAAAGCAGGAATTCAAATATGAACGACTGTATGACAGTGACTTATTGCTTATTGTAACTTTCGATTACAGGCGAATTGGTGTATTCGAGGAGGATGAAGACTCAACCGGCAAGTCCTACTCTGGACGCGAATTCGACGATTTGCCTACATCAGAACAAAAAGCCGCCTGCGCTAGAGCCAGGCTGTTCTCCCGAGTGGAACCCGCTCATAAATCCAAGATCGTTGAATACTTGCAGAGCATGAATGAAATTTCTGCTATGGTAAGCTTGACGACAAAACTATCCACTTTTATTATCTAGTTTTTTTTTGACGCGAAATATTGAAAAATATTCTACATCAAAAATGCCTATTGGTGCATGTCAAATTTCATGAAAATATCTAGAACAGTATCAATTAAAGTTATGATAAGAAAACGGTATTTTCCATAAAATTTTAACGCCCTGTAGCTCAAAAGTTAAGAGGTTTAGGACACATATTCATATAAACTTTCGCTTCCTAAAATGAGCTAAAACATCATATCCTGCATTTTTACACCCTGTATATTGCCCGAACTAAATAGTATTGTACTTGTTTGATCTACTTTATCCATTATAATTTTGTCACCTTCAACAGACTGGTGATGGTGTGAATGACGCTCCCGCTCTAAAGAAGGCCGAAATCGGTATCGCGATGGGTTCAGGTACTGCTGTAGCCAAATCCGCCGCCGAAATGGTACTCGCCGACGATAACTTCTCTACGATCGTATCTGCCGTAGAGGAAGGCCGCGCCATCTACAACAACATGAAACAGTTCATCCGGTACCTCATCTCGTCCAACATCGGCGAAGTCGTGTCCATTTTCCTTACAGCTGCTCTAGGTAAGTTCATTTTTTAGCGTACAAAATTTCGTATCGTCTTAACGTGTCATTTCCTTTGCAGGTCTTCCCGAGGCTCTGATCCCCGTCCAGCTGTTGTGGGTGAACCTGGTAACTGACGGTCTGCCCGCGACCGCTCTCGGCTTCAACCCGCCCGACTTGGACATCATGAAGAAGCCCCCGCGTAAGGCCGACGAAGGTCTGATTTCCGGCTGGTTGTTCTTCAGGTACATGGCGATCGGCGGATACGTAGGCGCTGCCACCGTAGGTGCTGCCGCGTGGTGGTTCATGTACTCGCCGTACGGACCGCACATGAGCTACTACCAAGTGGTAAGAAAATTGTTCAAAATTCATCATACAGACTTCGAAGTTGAGTCATTTATTTTAACAGTGAGTAGATCTGATCAAAAGAAATGTTTTTTTCCTTTACCATTTTTCTGGTAAAATTAAAGTAACAAAGTTATAGCCCTTTGGAAGTTTGAGTACCGTCCTGTCTCAATAATAATATTATGTGCTCGTGTTTGGCGACAACGGATATAATCTGCCTTATCGGTTCATCGCATCGGAAACAAAAAAGCGAAAGAATTTGGAACGATGTTTTTACAATTATTTTATTCAGTTGTATACAGTCAGTGTCAGTCGGTAACGCGTGAGTGAATAGTGGTGTCTGTTGCGTGGCTCAAACGAAATCAAAAATGGCACATGTTTACGAAAATCCTGAACTTGTGGACATGATTCTTATTTACGCGGCATCACGGATTTATGCGGATCGGTTTCCCAATCGAGTGCAACCAACCCCTCGTGCCTTTGTTAATGTAGTACAAAGGGCTCGTGAATCAGGTGACTTACGACCTCACAGGGGACGGCATGCCGGTGCTCCAAGACCGCACGATCAAATACAGGTCCGCACTGAAATACTTGTCGGGAGGATACTTTATAAAACAAGGTAACATTTTTTTTTTATTTTTTTTTATTTTTACACAAATATTTTGGTTTATCTTCCTTCTACAATCATCTGAAAATTAATGACTCAACTTCAAAGTATAATCCTGAATAATTTCAAATCATCCGCAAGTTTATTACAACTTGAATATTGCGCAATATCATCAATAAATAAGGTAAACAATAAAGGACCAAGATTTGAGCTCTGAGGCGCTCCCGATTTAGTTGCGTACTGGTACGACTTGAAGACATTGAAAGTAACATATCGCCTCCCTTCATAAAGATAACTTTGAATGAGTGCTAAAACTGATGAATGAAATCCATAATGAGAAAGTTTTTTTAAAAGTATGCCATCGAACGCAAAATCGGGAAAAGGCAAAGAAACTTTTGCAAAGTTTGGTGACCAGGTTATTGACTAGCCCTTCCCAGTTTAAGCGACTCTCCAGATGAAAGCCAAGATATTTTACATTATATCCCAATGAGAAATCCATTGTTCGTATTTCGTCTTTCTTTAAGACTAGTCTGCTTAGAAGCAGTCTTCAATGTACTCAACGTTCATTGCAGTTCCTTGGCTAAGGTCTGCAAGTTTGCATCCACGAGTGTCATCCGCTTGTAGCACTAGACGTTGAAGATGTCATTAGTAAAAATTATGAACAAGTGGGACCAGATTCGTACCTTGAGGTACCCCTAACCCAATCGACTGAATGTTTGACTTGTCTTTGTCCAGTGCTACATACTGTGATCTAGGTATGAAGATATAAGTTGAAGACTGTTATTCAAAACCATGTCTGAACAATTTTTTCACCAGCCAAAGGCTTTCGTTAGGCCTTGCGACGTTTCCCTTATTATCAGAACGTTTTTATTTATTTTTTTATACATCAGCGCATGCCTAAAGTTTTGTTTTGCATAGTTTTGAAGATCAACTCAGACATGTGACATACACTGAGCAAACATATACTAAGTGACATATAAATCCGAACACCCAGTTTAAATGGCTTTATTTTAATAAAATTTTGTATGATGATATGAAGCATAATAAGTAAATGATAAAAATTTCAAAATGATTGCACTGCTTTAAAGCCCTTTGACCTTTAATAATGTGTGGATGCACCCTGATGTGCTACGCATTCTCCAACGCGCCTAGGCATGCTTCTGATCAGGTGGTCAATGTCCTCCTGTGGTATCTCATTCCAGGCAACCACCAACTCCTCTCGAAGTGCTTCTAGAGTCTGAGGAGGACGTTGCAAATTGAGCAATCTCCTACCCATCATATCCCACACGTGCTCGATTGGGGATAAGTCGGGAGATCTTGGTGGCCATGGTAACAATGTGACATCATTATGTTGAAAGAAGTCTATTGTGACTCTTGCAACATGTGGTCGGGCATTATCTTGTTGGAAAGTTGGATCTGCCAGGGTGTCAAGATAGAGTAAAAGATGGGGTTCTAGAACTTCGTGGATATAACGCTGCGCGTTCATGTTAACTCTGATGAAGATTAAAGGTGACCTGGAACCATAAGCTATAGCACCCCAAACCATAACTCCAACAGTGTGATGAACATGTCTTTCAACAAAAAACTGTGGATTCCTCCTTTCACCACGTCGCCTTCTAACCCTGGCACGACCATCGTGCATGCCTAAACAAAATCGAGACTCGTTACTAAAGACAATACTTTTCCATTCCTGATCCCAGAGTGACCGTTGTCTGCACCACTCAAGGCGATTACGTCGGTGTTCTCGAGTTAAAGGGAGGACCCAGTGTGGCCGGTATGAAAACAAGCCAAAACTTCTCATTCGTCGGTAAACACTTCGCATGCCAATAGGTCTTCCGTGTTCTGCAAACCATTCATTTGCAATGGACCTGGTAGTGGAGAAACGGTCCCTTAAGGCCAATAATCTTAGGCGGCGATCTTCACGGTCTGTTGTTCTACGGCGGCGTCCAGTGCCCCTTGCTCTTTGCGTACGCCCTTCTCGAAGCCATGCCTGACAACACCTAACCACAGTGTCTACACTTCTTTGCACTCTAACTGCAATTGCCCGAAAAGAAAGTCCAGTTTCCCGAAGTCCCACTATACGGCCCCTATCAAACTCACTAAGTTGACGAAATCGTACAGGTCTCCGTACTCTAGGCATCGTAACCGATCGTCAAGAACCAAAATCCGCCAACGTTGATTCTTTACTGCGGCTGCAATATTCATTTTTAGAGCGTTAGTGAATTAAAAAAAAGCAGTATAAAAACCGGAATGTCCTACTGATAAGGCTGAACATTTTTTCACTTGTTATTTATAATAAGATAAATACATTCACCAACTTTTATTAAAATAAAACCATTTAAACTGGGTGTTCGGATTTATATGTCACTTAGTATATTTGTGGCGTTGGTCGAGACTTTTGCGGAGGCAATTTCTTCTTCCTGTTCGTCTTCAAATGTTGTCGTGTCCGTGGAAGGTTCACATAAACACTGGATTTCAAAAGCCTCATGCAAAAATGTCACAAGGGGCCAAATCGGGAAAACGGGCCTTCCACTCCAAACCGCCCTAATTTTTTAAATCTCATTTCCATACTTTCTCGAAAAATATCGAGGCGGACGGTTTCAAGTTTCGAGTCCTCATTGAATTAAAGTATGTTTATGTCATGAGCCCAACGTTTTTTAAGAAACTTTTTTTTCATTTGTTAACTTTTCTACCAAACTTCTTAAATACCCAATTTTTTTAAATAAGGTATCTCTCTCATTAATAGTGATTTAAGCAAGGTCAAACAACCCTGTGAATGGTACGTTTTCGAATATCTATAAATTCCAGTGATATCTAGCAAAATCTTCAATTTACAAAAAACATGTGAACATGTATACTTTATCTGAAGTCACTTGAAACACTGTGAAATACCGGGTGCGTTTTATTTATCTATATTTAACACGCTCTGTTGCTGCAAAAATCGCCAAATTTCACAGCAAATATCCCCCGTATAAGATCAAAGGCCATTTTCACCGGTCCACGTGGAGTAAAGCACGCCTATGCGTGGACATAGCCAATGAGAAAGCGTGTATTTCAGAGCTCCGAACAAGTGCAGGTGGCTACTGAAAATTGAAACAGTTTAGCCAGTGCCGTGTAGCGGTGAATAAACGTGTTTTCTTTAGTCTGTCCGTGTTTTTTCGTAGATTTTATTAGTTTGTGTGTTTTTGACTTTTGAATACTCAGTTTACTTGTTGATTTAATTGTTGTGTTGATTGTTCTTGTGTGTCCTAAATATGGCTCTTTGGAGACCTTGGGAAAATGCTCCAAGCCACGAGGAGATGGTTGATGAACCTGTGCAGGCAGAATTCTTTCATAAAGATTTAGAGGAACAGACCCAAAGAGTAATCCTAAACATGTATGATTGTCTGAAAAACGAAAATCCAGATTCCTCGCAAAATCAAATTTTAAACAGAATTTGTACCCTGACAAAAATCAGTCGGTCTACCATTTATCGGGTTATAAAAAGGGGAGATGTAGTCAACCATTCCTTCCACAGAAAGCGCATAGGGCAAAAATTAAAAAGAATAGACGTGGGTTTTCAGGAAGATATTCGTCGTATAATATACGGATTTTATGAAGAAAATTTGGTGCCCACGTTGGAAATGATACGGGATAAATTAAAAGATTATCCTGAAGATTTTTATAATTACAAATGCTTAGACCACTGCACTGTATTGTAAAACTGTGTGGTTTTCAATACAAAAAATTAGATAAAAGAATGGTGATTATGGAGTCGTCTCGAATCGCTGAATTGCGCCAAGAATTTTTGCACAAAGTTAAAATCTATAGAGAGCAGAAAAGAAATCTGATTTACCTGGATGAAACGTGGTATGATACCCATGATGTCGTGCAGTACGGCTGGGTTGACGACAGCAACAAGTGCATTTTAAATGCACCATGCAACCGTGGAAAACGAATCATTATTCTCCATGCTGGCAGTGAAAATGGATTTATACCTAATGCCTTGCTGTTATCTGCCAAAAATATCAAAGAATCATGTGCCGACTATCATGAGGACATGACCTCCGACTTATTTGAAAAGTGGATAGAGCAGCAGTTAATACCAAACATTTCCCGAAATTCAGTGATTATTATGGACAATGCGCCATACCATTCCCGACAGAAAAACAAAATTCCGAATACAGGCACAAAAAAACAAGACATTATTGATTTTATGAAGGATAAGGGAATGGAAATACCACAAAAATCAACCAAAGCCATATTATTGGATCTTATTAAAAGTCAAAAATTTGAAAAAGAGTATGTTGTTGACAGCAAAATGGCCATGAAGTATTACGTCTACCTCCCTATTACTGCATTTTTAACCCGATTGAGTTGGTCTGGGCTGCTTTAAAAAAAAAGTAAGAAAACATAATCAGACCCCTCAATTAAGTGAATCGCTATTGGCCACAATAAGAGATGCAGTATCTCATATTGCTGCCACAGACCTATGGAAGCAGTGTTCTAGGCATATTATTGAAAAAGAAAATGAATATTGTGTTTTGCCTCCTGTAAATCCCGTTGTAATTCCTCTACAAGATGACGCTAGCGACAGATCCGAAGGCGAGGATGATATATAAATACCTATAATGTAAGTCTTTATATACCTACCTGCTATGTAAATATTTGCCTATGTCAAACGTTGGAATTCTGTAATTTTTCCATTTCTTAACTTTCAGTCACCATAAATTAAACTCCCAATATAAGTGTTTTTTATCCCAAATCAAAAAAATAAGAAGATAGTAAAATTCATTTATTGTGATATAAAAACATTATTATTATCGTTCTAAATAAATGACCGCACGCCTATGATACGTCATGAAATTACAAAGGACGCGCCGACCAAAGGTTTTTATGCTATTTCAAGTGACTTCAGATAAAGTATACATAATGTGGTCAATAAACGGTATGGTATATGGCAGTATTTCATTCTTCGATGTCATGTTACGTGTTTATTTTCAGACGCACCACTTGCAGTGCAGCCCCACCAACCCAGACTTCAAAGGTATCGACTGCAAGACCTTCAGCGACCCTCACCCAATGACGATGGCTCTCTCTGTGCTCGTAACCATTGAAATGTTGAACGCAATGAACAGGTAAACCATAATTCATATAAATTGTAGATTGGTGAAATTCATCATATGGTTGAGGCGGATTCGTACTACTCAATCAGATTCTTATACAATTTAATTTTATTCTAACGTTCTAATTTGTCGTTCATTTCAGCTTATCTGAAAATCAATCTCTCATTGCGATGCCCCCATGGTCCAACTGGTGGTTGATTGGTTCAATGGCCCTTTCATTCACTCTGCACTTCGTCATTCTTTACATTGATGTCTTATCTGTAAGTATAGTCATTCATCTCTCATACTTAGAATATAGTGTACTTTTGACGTAACTTCAATTTCCCCTTCGCGGACGCGTGACGATGAAAAAAATTTTACAACATTTTGCAGATTTTCTCGGAGACGAATACGCTTAAGCAAGAGCCAAAGAGCGTTTCAAAAGCGTAACAGAACACTGTAAAACTTCAATCGAAATTATGAAAAAATCGAAAGTAAAGAGGGTCATGTTTCGAAAAGTGGCATTTTGTCAAGAAATTTTCAAGTCGAAACTCTTGAACGGAAAGGAATAAAGAAATAAAAAATCTGTGTTCCAAATATACGATGTCTGGGCTTTCTCACGCAAAAGATGCTATGTCCGTAGCTCGGTTACCTTCGGAGGAGATAGATGTTGAATATCGGAAAGCACATTTGAGACTCAAAAAAGCCAACGTTTGAAATTTTTTTATTTGGAACGGGTGCCCTAAGCGGGAAAAACTCTCTCCACGTAATTTATAGAATTCGTCGAGATGTACAAAATACGCTACGCGAAATTTCTTTTCTCTTTGCCTTAGAGAACTTATCAGCTTTTTACGAAAATTCGCTATTTTTCTCGTTTTTCCTTTGAAAATTTCTAGAAAAAAAACTAAGATGCGAATTGAAAAAAGGACCGCCCTAATTGGATCGCTCATCATTTAGCTATCGAATGAGATTGAGCTCGAGTCGATATTTTTATAAATAGCGAAATGTAGATTTGCAAGGTCTTCGTACTATGCGAAAAACTACCGTTTTTTCGACTTTAACCGCCGTTTTCGATCGTTTTTTGTCCTCGTAAACCATTAAGAAATTCGCCATTTTAGGAAATTTAATTATTTAATTTTACGTTTCTTTTGTTAATGAGTTGTTAATTCTTATTTACGACGTAATCAAAATAGAAATACGAGTGGCATTTTTGTCTTGGAAATTTCTGACGACGCACTAAGTACCTGATTGCTACCTGAGGCCTTGAAATTGATCCAAAGTCGTCATGCGGATTTTATTTTTGTTTTCGGGAATATCGTTATCCGTGTATTACATTTCTATTTGTCCTTTAGGTTATATTCCAAGTGTGTCCGTTGACGGTAGAAGAGTGGATGACAGTAATGAAATTCTCAATTCCAGTAGTATTACTAGATGAAACGTTGAAATTCGTCGCCAGGAAGATCGCAGACGGTGAGAATATGCTCTACTCCGTACACGGAATCGTGTTGATGTGGGCTGTGTTCTTTGGCTTTCTGAAAGTGTGCCCGACGTTCTAAACGGAAACACACACCCACTGCCTCATAGATCGAGGACAGTCCGTTATGCTGAAAACAATATATTACATACGAAAAACAAAACAACAGACATAATACAAGCGAGAGTCTAATCGTCAAACACAGTTGGTTTTATGATACGTTTTGTAGCCAATCACGACGCGGAGAATTATTTGACGTTTGGCGCTTAGTTGAGAATTCCTCCTTATTTGACTTGACAGTTTGAACTGTGAACTATTAGGTATGTTTGCCTCTCTAAGTCGATTCTTTTCGCAAGTGGTTCCTCAGGTTGACATAAACATGACATAATAATGACGTAATTAAATGACGTTTTCGCGACTTGCAAAAAAATGCGTCAGTTCTCAACATTTTTTTATAACAGTAAATACTTCTTATTGTTGCTCCATATTTCCAATTCACTTCAAATACAGAACCAGGTCTTAATATCATAAATAAATAAAATAATATACTACTCAAAAAAATTGAGGGAGCAAGAGAAAAATCCAAATTTTCGGTGATTTTTGAGAGGCTGTATTTCGGTGAAAAATGGTCGTATCTAGATTTTGAAAAAACATTTTGAAGCTTCAAGATTCGTGTTTTTAGATTTTTTAGCAGACAAAATGCAGGAGCAATGGTTTTCATGCGATTTTCACAGATAGCGCAAAAATTTTTTTTTGCAAAATTTTTGACTTCTTTTTAGTCTGAGAGCTTGAACTTTTTTTTTATTCAGCTTCAATATCATATTTTTAAAATCTCGATACGAACCGAAAGCTGAAAAAAACTTTTTTCAGTTACTTCTTTTAAATTGAAGATGTTGTCCAATAGTGACAAAAAAAAAGATTTTTCCATTTTCAACCATATTACATGATGTTTTGAAAACAAATTTTGCTCCTTTGATTTCGTTCGAATTTTGACCAAAACATTAACCTTTTCATTAGCAGTTCCAAAAATGCGGTAAATTCTCCAAAAAAATGCAAAAAACTAGCTTTTTTGACTTTTTAAAAATCAATACTGAGTAAAAAAAAATTGCTCAAAGATTGTTTCCAGATTTTATTAGAAATTTATTCAGGTTTTCGGAAGTACCCTTACGTTCTCACTGGTTACCGAGATAGCAAGTCAGTCAAAAATTTTAAAATTACGCGAGATTCGTTTCTCCTAAAATTTTTCGACCAAAAAACCTGAAAACTGGAATCTTAAAGCTTCAAAATTCTTTTTTTAAAGTCTGGATACGCCCATTTTTCACCGAAATACAACCAGTCAAAAATCATCGAAAAATTTGTATTTTTTCTTGCTATGTTAATTTTTTTGGGTGGTATATTAGAACCACCGCCAAAAGGATTTGCTTTTTTTCATTTGAAACGAAAATTACCTACAAAACTTGGAAGTATCATGGTACAACTAACTTGTGTTACACGAATTCACGTTGGAACTTTGTTACTTTTAACCAAGTACCTTTTTACAAATATTGTGTTTTCAGCCTTGCTAGTGCGTAAACGGGTGCTACCTTTAAATTGACGAGTGTTACTATGTTGTAGAATATATTGAAATATATATATTGATGTCTGGTATGTATGGTCTGGGTTCGAGTATGAAGTGCCTTTTTTGGTTTTCGGATTAGGTCGCGTGTCAATTGTTTACCAAAGCCGTTTGACAAAGAAGCAGAAATTACGCAAGAGGGTACTAGAAAAGAAATCTGCCTAGCCGTGAGACAAAAGACGTACGATTTTTTTGATGTTATAAAAACATGTTTTCTCTTTACCACCAAATGTCAACTCATTGAAGATTTTCCTTCAGTAGTCAATTCAAATTTTGAACTATGCTTGTACGTTTTAATTGTTTTTCTTGTGGCTAGGTAGATTTTTTTCTAGCATTCCTCGTAATAATTAAAATCATACTGTCATGGATAAACTGCAAGAAGTGCAATGCAAGTATTTAAAAACTTGTACATTGATGGCAACGCCTGAATTTGATTTGGTCACCATCTTTTCTACTTTCGGCATCATTGCTCGGTTTATTATGTATTCTGTTCGTATTTGACCGATTTTAGTGGCTCATGCGTACCTCGAAATGACATGAAAGACATAAGAGCAATAAATGAATTGTAGTTCATTTTACTGGCTTTTGATAGTATATTTGGTTTATGTAACAAACCAGAGTATTTTACTTGCTATAATTCTTGCAGTAACTCTCGTGTCAAATGGCTTAGCAAAGTGTATTAATCTTTTATTCGTAGTCGTAGCAGTTGACCAAATTTTGAAGTATACGTGGTGATTTTTTGATTCAAGTATTTCAAAGCATTCCGTATTTCAAATTACAATTATCCGCAAACTTTTTTTTGAAAATATACCCAGAATATAAAGCATAAATTAAGTATTTAGTTCGATGAAGTATTTCCAAATTTGCGGCACATTCATCCTGTCAATATTTATCTCAACTAATCGCGGACTCATGAAGACTTGAACGTATCTTACGATGACTTTACTGTATAGAAAGCCTCTTCAGCATAAATATTTTTATTGCATGATATTGGCAATATCCTGCAACATCTTAATCTGACGTATACAGTGAAACAACAAAGGTCCTAAAATACTACCCTGTGGTACACCTCCGGTTATACTACGAAACTGAGATACGTGACCGTTGTGCACTGGGATTTAAGTATTAGCTGCTGTTGTCGGCCAATGTATTGCAGTAAAAACATTACCCGTTTAGAAGCTCCTTAAGAATATAGAGATGCTATACAGTTTGTCATACTCAGAAATTCAGTAGACGCGCTGGTACTGATTACCGAAATCATCCTACCGAGACCTGATTTTTCTTGTATTTTTTAAACTATTAGGATATAGTCATCAAACTGCTGAGTGCCGCTATTTGGATACGACTATCGATCATACGGACAACATAAAAATATCAGAGCTAATAAAAACCACTTTGACGGTACAAATCGTATGACGTTTACAAGGTTTGCCCATTAAAATAGCGAATATAGAAGACCTAGCGATGTGTAGTATATCTCTTAGCATGTTTTAAACGGAATACGAACTTTGACCGAACGCTAGTGAGACGTTAGTAAATAGTTGGTAAATTTATTCCGCCAAAGTTCGTCATTCCTTCGGAATTAGATAGCAAATCGTATCGCCGGATAACGTAAAGGCAAGTTATGTGTGTCGTGAAGATTTGACTAACCTTTATCGGATGCCTTTGTGCCTCACCTGGCGGCGTTCAAGTGAAACAACTGGATCGGTAAAGCTACCGAGTTGCACCACGCTGCCTCGTAAGCACACACCACGATACCACCGTGTATACGATTTTTCGGATGAGCGCGTCTGGAACAGCGAGTATGATAGTAAACTTGAGCGATAGGAAAAATGTGCGCCAGCGGGCTTCGAACCCGCATCTCTTCCATTCCGTGGAACCGACCCTACCGCACCATCTGCCAACTAACCTTCAGGATCGACTGTTAGGGACAAATTCAATATTACCTTTTGACATATGTGAAGGGGCACCTGAATCTACGACAAATATATTTTTCCTTGTAATTGAATTTAATCAATGTGAGCGTTCAACAAAATAGCTGTTCTAGTTCCTTCCCTCCTAGGTATAATGGCAGCTGTGATAGGGGTTTTTAAACAGTCTGGAAATCCTTTAGGCAAGTCAGTGACAGGACTATCAAAATTTTCGTCAGAATATTATTTAGTGCACTTGCATACCTCTTCTGGGAAACACGCTGCAATCCTGGACATGGTTATTGTCTGTGTAGTCAATTTAGTCCCAGAATCCTCAATTGCTTTAACTCCAGGATAGTAGCTCTACCTCTAGTTCTACTCTTCTCATTTTCTGTCAGAAAAGCAACCTTTTCTTGATTCCTTTTTACGAAAAAAGCCATCTGCATCAAGATTTGTTTTTTTACAATTTGTAAAATGTCCAGTTTCACCGCAAAAGTACTGCTTATTTTTACTTGATTTTACAGGAATTGTTGTTTTGAATGCTACTGCATCCTCAGTTTTTTAGTCTGTATGCAAGATTTTCAAGAGACAAAATTTCTGAAAAATTCTGTGCATTTTTTTGTACATTTCTGCTGATGTTTCACAACTCATCACATGCATCAGAATCTTTTTATCGACTGTAGTGATTATGTATTTCTGAGGTTTTGCATTTTTCCCCAACGTCGTGTCCTCTGCAGTTACCGATAGGTCAAGGATTTTTATACCATTTACGATCTCCAACAGTCCTTGGGATTTGTTAACGATATTCATCTGAAGCCTCCACAATTCAAAGCCTTCACTGTCTTATCAGTTTTTCAATATTTGGAGTTTTGGGCGTATAACCCGTTCTTACTGTCAATATTGTTTTTACAAGAAAAACTGCTGCTCTTCTTCAGTGATAACAACTGATCTCTCTGTCCATCATTCAAAGTTTTCACACCCCCAATACTCGAAGTTACAGTATTATTTTTTATTTTGTGATTATGCTCAACACTCTCAAGCTGTCTTGGTGGCCCATCTGGCGGCGTTCAAGTGAAACAAACGAGACGGTGGTACTGTGGTGTGTGCTCACGAGACGGCGTGCTGTTACCTCACGAGTCCTGTCTGTTTCGCTTGAACGCCGCCAGATGGCGCACAAATTCAGCTTAAGAGAACAACGAAGCTGCACCAAATCCCGGCGCTCATTTTTCCTATTTCTTTGCGGATGCACTCGTCCTAAAAAGCGTATGCCACCTGTACGGGAGTTTCAAGCGCAACAAGACTGACAGGCTTACGACCAGCAAAAGGTTAGCAGAACGCTATTAGACAAGTTGAAGTTTAAGTAGAATAACAGCATGTTCTTGAATGGGCGCAATCTTGAATTTGATGAAGTTTTCACAATATATACACTTTCGAAATTTTACAGTTTCAATAGCACTTGAGTAGTTTTGTATGATTACGTGTACATATATTAAAGATTTTTGGATGTATTTATTTGCTACAAAATGTGATGTCTTCGTGGTTTTTGAGACGGTGATATTTTCAAGTAGAACTATTGATTCGTCCATATTTGGTAGATTTTTGTAATGGTAATTTTCACTAATAGCTTCTACATACATATACTGTGATTAAAGTGAACACTATAGTAAAAATGGACTGATAAAATGAACACTGAGGATAGAAATAGGCCGTTTACTTTTAATTGTACATTCTCAATAAAAATGCTTTTATTTCAGTTTTTCCAAATGATTCAAAAGAGATTTGAAAAAATATTTTAATTCTTCCTCATTACTGGAGGACTTTTCTTTCAGTGAATTTATAAAAAAAATGTCCCTAGCAAATGTATTCCTGAAATGCTTGTCAAAAATAATAACGCACAAATATTCAGCGTTTGTGATAGCATCGTGAAATCTTATAGTTCCTAGATTTCCAAGTAACCAACTCTCGAGTATCTGTTGAAGAACTTGTAGTATTTATCATCAGATGTGCCAATGAAAGGTGTATGTTAACTATTCTTTGCAGATTCAAGGAATTGTTCAGCAGCGAGCATTATACATACATATTTTTTAACTTTTAAAGAATCTCCTTCAAAATCAAAAGTTGTTCATTGTCCGGTGTTCATTTTATCCACGGTTTGTATTCTACCAATAATAGTACTTAACAATAAACTCGAATTCAAAATTGCGCCATTTTTATAGTCCTAATCTATTCCTGAATAACTTTCGAGTAGGTGTTTAGTGGTTAAAGATTCATGTTTGCTCAATAATGGAAGTCTATTACACTTTGATGAGTCTAATAGATATATGGATGTTTAAATATTTCACACATTTACAATTAAAATAACAAAAGTAATTTGCCGTAAAACAGTACCGAAAACGTAAAAAAGGAAATTGGAAAAAAACACTCGCTATTCATCTGTTAATTCCAAGCCCAAGTCACTGTCAAAAATGTTGTTTGGAAAGACTGCTGTTTTATTGAAAAACAACATAAAACACAGCGATTTCTCAATGATATGGGATCCCAAAAAAAATTTCGGTTATTAAGCAAAATTGAAGAGGTATTAACTTTTTATATTTGCGTTTCTGAAGTAACTACAGGTTTTGATACCTGAAGCAAGATTAACAAAATACCTGAAGAATGGATTTTTAACCACTACAAATTGAGTAGATGATTGAATACGGAAGTATAAAGTGAAACATGTAATATAGTTTGATTCTATTACTTTTGTTAGATTGTGCGACGGTACAATAATATGTTGATATTTTGACAAAACGGTGAAAAGGTGTAACTTATTTATAGTTAGGTAGCTATATAGGGCGATCCAAACCCATTTAGTTTGAGGAAGTACCTGAGAAACTTGTATTTAATTTCAAGGTACATTGAACTGCTTGTCATGTGGAATCTTCTTTTAGCACCTATTTACTTCATACAATATTTTGCCCTTTTGTGGCATTTAGGAGGCTCTATAAACAGACAAGGGGTTTTGCTTTACGAATTTGAAGAAATGAAGCGTTCAACTAAGAGATATTTCCATTGATCGATTTAAAGTTGGAATTCATTTTCTATTTCACTCTCGTATCCGCTCGTTAGATTTATTATAAAATGGGCTTGGACGCCCTTGTAAGTTTTTTTATATTTGTTGTAGTGTACAGATAATATGATCATATAGTACTCGAGTTTTGTCATATTGATAAGTTTTTTTAATTCAGTTCCAAGGTCATGATGCATTTAGTATTCGAATTTACCATATATAGTAATATATTTGTGTGCGATTTGATAACAATTTTTGAACGACACGTTCGAAAACAGGGGTCTTTTTTCAACTCTGTTTTATGATCTGTAGTTGAAATTGTACATATTTACATTTAATTGGGAAGTGTTATCCTGAAAAAAATCAATAAAGTTTTAAAATGTTTTTGTTGGATTTATACGCCTACTAATGTTTATAATGACAATTTTTCTGTATAATTATTATTTACCGTTTTTATTATAAAAACCAAGTACAGAAAATTTGGCCATTATTCGCTTAATCCTAAGTAGCGCTGAACAAGCTAACCATGCTTAAAAGTACAAAGAAAATGCAAACGTACGCATTTGTACTTAATTTTATTGGCAGCTCCCAATCAGTGATTCAAACGGTTCAAGCTTTTTCGTTGGCGGTTGGAGTCTCAAAACAATGAACATAATATGACCAACACGTGATTAGTTTCAATCACACTTTATTTTGTATGAATTTCATGTTTTTTTTTTAAATAGTAACTCTATTTATTGTATATGTTTGTGTAGTTTAAAAGAATATGACTTATTTTTTGGTTTGCAATGAAAAAAATTTAAAAATCCAAAAAACGGATTTTTGAATATTTTTATGATACCCATCCTATATAATCTGATTTTTTTATAAATCGTTGGTCGTATTTTCGTTGTCTTGCTTTTTGACCGTCAAAGGTACAGCAACCGTTTCTATCAGCAATTAGTGTGGTGTGTTTAGTAGTGTACAGCCGAACATCCCCATTGCATCTTTTCGCAAGTAAGTATCGTTTTCTTGTGTTTTTTATCTGTGAAAAATAGAGTGTTAATACTGATAGATCGCAAAATGCCTCGCTTCATAAAAATAAGGTTTTATAAGAATTTTTTATCAATACTATAATGAAGTATTATAAGATTTCTCTAACTGAAAATCATTGATTCAATCAAACATTGTCCATCACCTTATTAATTCGCATTTTTTTAAGAATAAGGAACCTAGAAAATATCTAAAAACGAGGTACTATCATTTTTTCGATAACCGTCATTGCATTTGATTCAGTCAGTTCAAAACCACAATGTCGAAATCTTGTTTCAGGACAAGCAATATCAGAAAACCTTGTGCTTGTCTTTGGCAACAATTTATTCCATTATTTCATCCATTGGTATGAAATTAACGTAAATAAGTTTAAATCTTCATAGACGAATTTTAACAATTAGTTTTTCATATAGTTCTTTTAGCATTAATGCTGCAATGGCAATTCAATTTTGCATAATTATTAGTATACACATTGATAGTGATTTATTAATTTCACCTGTTTAGTACCATTATTCAATATATTAAATTCAAATACTTCCTTTTGAAATACAGATTTGCTAATTATGCTATTACAATTTTGCACATGAAAATCAATACTGCCTCTAGTTTCGTAGTTATGAAAATGACTATTTAATTTTGTTTTCTATTAGTGGTGGTAATGAATGATTTTTTAATTTGAATATGAAAATGAGAACTAAATAATATATGAAATTGTTTACGTTCAAGCACTGTAGTTCTTCTAACATATTTGTTTTTATTTAAAATAGCTTTATTTTGTAGAGTTTGCAATTTTGAAAATGTTTTCATTCAACAGATGGTTGGACAATATAAAAAAAATGGGAAAGAATTACTATGTTATACACAATTTTTTTGGAGATTATCGGAAACTTTATAGAAGTAATTTAAATCTTTTTTGACATTGTTGAAATAATGTATTCATAATGCCCGTGAAACAGTAGTTTACTATCCACATATATACCCATATCTTTAAATGGTTAGACTTCTTGAATTTTCTCATCGTTAATCATGAGCCTAATTGTATTGCCACCTTAATGTTTCCCTATTGACATACATTTTGTTTTATTAGTATTTAATTTAAGTGTATTAACATTTAACCAATTCATAATTTTTGAATGTCACTATTTAACAGTTTTAAAGCAATGTCCAAATGTTTATGTACTATATACATATATATATATATAAAATTATCATGCGGAGCAAGGTATATAACAAAAATAGGAAAATAATGGGCAAAATCCGCAGAAAGTGGATTCGAGCAGAAAATAGGATAGGTAACCCGAGCGATACGTATTTCTGCTGGTTGGCTTCATCAGGCCCGAAATGAATGCACATATGCAACTCAGGTTACCTATCCTATTTTCTGCTCGAATCCACTTTTTGCGGATTTTGCCCATTATTTTCCTATTTTTGTTATATATATATATATATATATATATAACTTGAGACGTGGTCATTGTCGTCTAGACCAGTTAGGTGAAAAATTAAAGCTGCCGCCTTTTGTTGGGTACTTCGACAAAATTTAAGCAAAGAGGACTCTTTATACCTTTTTAATTCTCTCCAGCTTTCAATGGACTTTGCCATCATCATCAGGAGCTGCAATTACAATGATAACAGTAGCAACAAAAGTGTAAAATGAATTTAAATTGACTCAACTTACAGTAGTATGTGAGGATGTTGCTAATTGTTGTTTACGTATAGGATGAGGGAAACGTCCAGTAACATGGTGAGAGCTGGATAGATGGTACAATGGTCAACATTATATAAAATATGACAAGAACAAGTTATATATATATATATATATATATATAATGTATCGTCCGCACATATTTTAATTTTGCAATTCTCTAAAATGTCACAGATATCATTTATATGAATAATAAATAGTAACGGCCTTAATTTACTCCACTGTGGCACCCGTACTGATAATTTTGAACGCCTGACAAAATATTTCCAACTTTAGCGTTTCGACTTCTATGTACTAAACAATTTTGTAAAATGTTTAATATTGATCCACTAAAATCATAGTGATGCAATTTCATTAACAATTTTCCCATATCTATAATCTCAAATGCTCTTTTGAAGTCTAAAAATACTATTAAAATACATTCTTTCTCATCGACACTTTTTCTCTGGTCTTCCACCTGTGTGTTTTCACGTTTTATTGTTGTTTCTCCGTTTTTTTAGATCGCTTGTCTTGAAACAGGATTTCACGATTTTATTGATATCGTAGTTCATGCAATATTCTTTTAGAAGAAAATGAAACAATTTCGAAAGCATGACATGAACAAAGAACAAACTTTCTTTCTGGATAAAGAACTGTATATCTATTTCGATGCTAAATTCATAATCATATTTTTTTCAAAGGTAAACAAACTAAAATGCTTTCAAACCAAAAGGTATGCTAATAGGGAAATACTTAAATGAAAATGCTATCACAGTTAGGATAAATAGTGAAACAATTGAATCGATTAAACATTTGGGTGTATTGATAGTAAACTAGAGTTGGACGATCACTATGAATGCATTATTTCAAAAATTGTCAATAAAAACGGCTTCTCATATTCTTAGTACATATTCCAAGAAAATAATGTATAATACAATTATTCTACAGACTTTAATATATTGTTTAAATATCTTGTTAACTGGCAATGAAGCTGTATTCTCAAAATTACAAGTCCTACAAAATAAAGCTATGAGAGTAATATTGAATGAAAATAAGTACATCAAAATATATCTATGTTACAAGAACTGCATTGGTTGAATATAAAAAAAATTCATATATTTGGTTCTTATTCCATATTTAAGGTAAAAAATCATATTTTGCTATAACAATTAAAACATTGCATAGGACTGAGTAATCATTATAACAATTATGATACAAAAAAAATATAGATTTCCCTTCACAAAATTGCAATAGTAATAGACCCAAATCAATATAAAACGATATAAAGTTTACTAGTAATTTAAAGATGTTTAAAAGAAAATTAATGGAACACTTCATGGACAGTGAAAATTCTTAGAGATTCAAGACTTATTTTTCTGAATATTCGTTACGTAATTGTTGTAGTATTTTAAAAGAATGAAATTGTATCATCATGCCAAATAAATCTTAAATAAAACAAACTACCTATAATGGAAAAAGTGAGGAAGTGAAGCATTTCAACACTGGTCTGACTTGTATGAGTATAATAATGTGTTTTTGATTTCGCAGTTGACCAAGACATTACCAGATATTGAAGCTTACCTACAACCAAGCGGTCTGGGTGCAGTGAAAAATACGTAACCTTTACAGAATTACGTTGTTTTCTATACTCATGCATGCCTATCTTCTATCTTTCTCTGTTCTAATATCCTTTATTTCTGTTTCAGTTGGTGAAGCCGTAATTGATAGATGGTAACACTAGACGCCTGTAAGCATCTGAACATTGCTTTTTAATACTCTAGAATAATGATTCAAAAAAGACTCCGCTAGCTTCTTTCCTTCGTTATACTTTACTTTTTTTTACCTAGTCTCTGAGGCATGAGTTGTTTCAGCTCATCTATCTTAACCACCTTCTTACGCTAGTAGGGTCGCATCTTATTTTTTTTAAGACTTACGTAGCACTAGAGTCATCTTCCAAATAGCTTATTTTTAAGTTGCGAGTGTTTTCATGTCTTTCTCAAGACCTGTGATGGTTTTAATGGTGCATCAAGATGCTCGCCCACCCGTAAGCATCCTACACGGTCAAATCACGAAAATACCTTAGCTAAGTTTCGGAAACATCGTCACAAACTTACATAATTATTTCATGAAAAGCAATGCAATGAAAAAATATCATGTTGATGTATTAAAAAGTCTTGTGGGAAAACTAATGATAATAGACAAATTATTTTGAGAACGTGTCACTGATTCTAGTGATAGCATGGTAAATATAAATTACCTGCGAACAAGGCGGATTATCATTACCGTAGAATGCGGACGGGTGGGCAGGCACCTTTAGGAGATAATATTGAGTTTTCGCGTGATGCAGATCGTGACATTTGCAAGTTACTAACGTACTGCCAAGCATCCATTTTATTTTTGGAGTCCGGTCAATCATGCGAAGACTTTTCCCATTTAACGACATGTACATATTTATTTAAGTTAACTTAAAAGAATTGTTATCATTTTTGCGCCGATCGTGCGGCGCAGAATATTACGGAGTGTATCGAGACCATCACTGACTAACTGGCGTTACTGTTACCGTTGGGCATCTAGCTGTCACTTGTCAATTTTGTTGATATATACTAACTTTTGCTAGCGGTGTAAGGAGAATCGAACGTAAAATTTGTTTCGTTCGTTGCGAAATCGACGGAGGCGTGTTGGTGGTGGTCTCGACAGAAAAATGGCCGACCGCGTGGTCAGTAGCCATGACGTTATACATTGTATAGTACTACATTGTAATTTACATCAGTTTTGTAAACAGGATATTTGTGTAAATAAAGAGGCGGCTTTGTGGCTGTCAAAGTTAAGAGATGTTTTTGTACCCATCCCAAATTCTCTGCGTTCCCGTTCTGAATCATGATTTAATTTCTGCAGTCATCGTAGTACCCGTTTTACATTGACAAATCCGCGGATTTGTTCGTGAATTGCGTTCATGGCCAAATTTCAAAGGTATACAGGGTGTTTCAGTTTATTGTTGCATAACTTTGAGATTCGATAGAACTTTTAAAATTAATGCGTAAGTCTATATAAATATGGGTCGAAAAATGCGTGGCTTCCGAAATACAGGGTGTTTAAATTTACTTTCTAAAATAGTTTTTTTTAAATATTTCGAACAATATTTGATGTATAACAGTGAAAATTGGTATACAAGGTTTTTTTGGTACGAAAAAACGAACCATGGGCATAGTTTTACTGTAGCCTCTAGAGGGCGCTCTCTACTGTACCTGTAGTGTATTAAAATGACCGAAAAAATTTTCTTAGTGCAATTTTTTGCTTTTTGAATAAAAAAACTGATCCTTCGCACTTTTCAACATAAAAAAGCTCTCCTGTGAGTTTTCGTTATATTTAGCCGGTTTTGAGATATTTCGATTTTTAAGGTTAGATGCATTTTTAATTATTTATGATAAAATAACGTTAAAAAGTCAGTATCTCGATAATTTTTAGAAGTTGAAATTGAAAGCAGAATAAGGTTAAACGTCAATTAGATGACAGTTAGTTTTGTTGTCTGTTGAAACCTGAAACGTTTTTTTGCAATTGTGAATGCACGAAATTTAGTTTCTTTTACCTGTTTTTTTGTAAGTTTTATAAAAATGCCATTTTTATTCTCCAATCAAGAGTTAGCGGATATTCATTTTGTGTATGGCTTTGTAAATGGAAACGCAGCAGAAGCAGCCAGAGAATATGCACGAAGATTTCCAAACAGACGACATCCAACTCGCTCAGTATTTCTAAGAGTGCATCGCCAAATAATTGAAAATGGTTTTGGAAATCTCCAATGGGATCAAAACATAAATGTTCGTCAGCGCAGATTTACCCGTATGATTCTGCGTGAGTTCGATAGAGATCCGACCACAAGTGTTAGGAGAGTTTCTGGTGCCTTGGGAATTTCAGCAAGCCATGTTCACCGTGTTCTTAGAAATGACCATAGACGTCCTTACCATTTGCAGCCTGTGCAAGGACTACAGCCAGGGGACGGAGAACGAAGAATCACATTTTGTCAGTGGATTCTTGATAGAACTGATAATAATAGGGAGTTTTTAAGTAACGTTTTATGAACCGATGAGTCATGCTTCACTAGACGTGGAGCGGTAAATTTTCATCATCAACATATTTGATCGCATGAAAATCCGCATGCAGTTCGGGAAAGAAATTTTCAGCATGAATTTAGTGTGAACGTGTGGATTGGTATCTACCGTAATCGACTATTTGGACCCTACCTTTTGCCTGCAAGGTTAAATGCTGCGACCTTCTTGGAATTTTTAATGGCCGAAAATGCAAATATGTGGGATGATGTTACGTTAGATTTAAGAAGATTGGCCTGGTTCCAGCTTGATGGTTGTCCAGCTCATTATTCGAGAATGGTTAGAAACTGGCTGGAGGAAAATTATCCAGAAAGATGGACCGACCGTGGAGGACCAGTAGCCTGGCCTCCACGATCCCCTGACCTAAATCCATTAGATTTCTTTGTGTGGGGATTTCTAAAAGAAAAAGTGTACCAGACTCCCGTAACCACAAGAGATATGCTAATAGACAGAATCAGGAATGCATGTAATGAAATAAGGCCTCATTTGAATGCTAACGTTCGATCATTCGTAGATGTGAATTGTGTATTAAACAATTGGGTTTACATTTCGAGCAACTACTTTAGATTTTGTATGTTTGTCCTAACTATCCAATAGCATTTTAGTTGTAAATAATTAATTTAATTTGTTAAAAATAATATTGGAAAATTAAACAAATTAATATTCTGTTTTTTGTGTTTATTTGGAGTTAGGAATTATTGCTGTTTAAAAACACAATCTAAACGACCATCTTAATTACTTGTAATGCCCAAATCGAAAATGTAAAAAAAAAATATTATTTTCGCCATAAATAAAAATGCAAAAATGCATCGAACCTGAAAAATCGAAATATCTCAAAAACGGCTAACTATAACGAAAACTCACAGGAGAGCTTTTTTATGTTGAAAAGTGCGAAGAATCAGTTTTTTTATTCAAAAACAAAAAATTGCACTAAGAAAAAATTTTCGGTCATTTTAATACACTACAGGTACAGTAGAGAGCGCCCTCTAGCGGCTACAGTAAAACTATGCCCATGGTTCGTTTTGTCGTACCAAAAAACCCTTGCATACCAATTTTCACTGTTATACATCAAATATTGTTCGAAATATTTAAAAAAAAACTATTTTAGAAAGTAAATTTAAACACCCTGTATTTCGGAAGCCACGCATTTTTCGACCCATGGTTATATAGACTTTATGCATTAATTTTAAAAGTTCTATCGAATCTTAAAGTTATGCAACAATAAACTGAAACACCCTGTATAACAGGAATTTGACGGCAAATAAATCGATGAAGTTCTTCGTGAATTTCTTCACACAATTAGGACTGCTTTTAAGTTAGACGTCAACTTCCATGGTGTCAACCTTGTTTTCCTTTCCATTATTTTAATCAACTTTACAATTAAAGTATAGAAGTTTACAGAATTCAACAATATGGTGTCTATTTATAATATTCACCTCAAAATCAAAACCACATACATTTTCAAAACACATTGAATTGTCTGAGAAAAAATAAATAGTTTAAAATCCAACAACAGTACTAAAATCACTGTTAAACGCATGCTGAAAAACTTATATTTAAAGACTTTTTAAGAATCTACACTTAATTAGTATTAAATCTGGAAACAATTATGCTTAGTTTCTGATTTTCCTTTTGTAATGCTTTGATTTTCTCGTTATTTGCTTCAATTTGCCTCGAAATATCTTCCGCAGGATTTCCAGTTATCTGAAAATTGGAGGCGCCTCCACTGGCACTACGGGTCTCAGCAACTTTTTCCAGTACTTGCTCCTAGAAAATATACAGGGTGTTTCTGAATAAGTGTACAGTACTTAGAAGACTTAAATTCGCCGTGTCTACCCACCTTAAACTCTTTGAACCTTTTAAATAGCGCGTCAAATTCCTCCTTCAAGTCGCTTGTCATATTAGAAACTTTTTCTGCTGTATTACTAGATATCCTACTAGAGTTTTTCAGCATCCGATTATGATTTTCAACATAACTATCTGCAGTTACTAGATAGATAGATATAGATTTTGTTTCTTTCTCAATACGTTTCATAGTTTTTTGAGCTATATCACCTCGTCTCATAATACTTTTCAATTCCGTAGATACACTGCCATAGCAAGACTCCAAATTCATGTTGTCAGCGGTGACTTTGTTCAAATTATTTTCAAGAGTTTTCAGCGAGGTGACGTGTTGTGTTATTAATTTATTCTGTTCGTGAATTTTCTTCTTTGCTCTTTCCAGTTCATTCAAAAGGTTATCATTATCAATAGTTAGGGTTTGGAACTTCTTCGAGTCTGAAACGCAATGAGTGTACCGTTTGAAGGGTTTAGGGGAAAAAGAAATATCACAAATTTGATTTTTTGTAGTTAGAACCAGCAACATGAAGAATCGGAAACACGCAAAAACAATGACAGTTCGTAGTGATACCCAATTGAAAACTTGCCGTGCAGGGAAAAAAATCTGTTGAATAGAAAAAAGATGAACATCCACTGATCGTCACCGAAATTAGTGGCTACTACAACAATTTACCATACACCAATCTGCGACGAACGAAATAAACGATAAGTAATCATTTTTAAGCAGTTACCAATAATTTTGTTTTGTTCTATATTTTGAATGAATATTTTTTGGTTCATTCTATTTTTTGTCCCGATTAAAAAACATACTCAAGAATAATTCTGAATAGTATAGCGCTTTCGTTACCTTTATCTTGTTTCTCCTTGTAAACTTTATTTTGTTGTTCGAAGAATGTGGCTTTTCTTTGCGAAACGGCATTCTCTCGCTCCATTATTTTATTCATTTCAGCTAATTTTTCTATTTTGATTTCATATTCATTGATTTTTTTATACAGATTTCTCAGACCACCTTCTATAGTTGTTGTAGTTTGAAGCATGCACCCAAACTGAGTTACATCGTATAACTTAGGTCGCACCTTCTTGAAGCTAAATAAATTAAAAAAAAACTCCTACAATTATCTGTCTTATAATATCGCACTACCATGATTCAGGGTGTTGTAAACTTCTATGCCACCGATGAGATTAGATAAGTATAACACAATATTTTTCATATGAATGGAATGGCTGCTAGGGGGAGTAACTACAATCTTGAATCTAAAAAAGGGATGTTTCTGTGAATTTCGCTATATTAACCAAACAAAAAATACCTGATTTTTAAATTCGAGGATAATCTGAACCTTTTTTGTTTGACAATTTTTGCTATATTTCTAAAAATAAAGTGGTGGGAGGCATTCAAAGGTTTCCGTAAAAACCACCCTGTATCTTCGAAACGGTTGGACCGATTTTAACAAACTTGGGCTAGTTGAAAGGACCTTTTTTTGGGCTACACATGTTATGATATTTGAAGTTTTGTTAGTTTCACATGAGGCCGCTAGAGGGCTTTTTTCAACATTGCGCAGAAATGGTCAATTTTTTCCAGAAAATTAAATGCATTGGTATATGGATAATGAAAATGTGTAAGTAAATCAACATCGTTGATAACTTTCCAAGTGGATACTAGGATTACTGACCCTATTATTCAACTATTCAACTCCGGTCCTTAATGACTGAACGTTAATTTTTAAGCCTCTATATTTACCTGCCATAGTTATCGATATGACCGTTTTCGAGACTTAGCAGTAGATTTCTCATACAAGAAACTGCTGACGCACAACTATCGCATCTATTTAATGAAACGATATCCGTTTGACAGCTCTTGTTGATGCTGTAATCAAGGATACCTAAGCTTTCAGATCTAGAAGCATTCCTTCCTGAAATGTCTTTGTTGGAAGCCTGAAAAATGAATCAGTTAAGTGAGAACCATATTTTCAAAATTACAAATTCTACAAAATAAAGCTACAAGAATCATTTTAAATAAGAACGCATATGCTAAGATTAAGTCTATGTATAGCAGTGGGGGAATGTAAAAATTTGGTGAAGTAGTTCTCATTTTCAAAAACCATTTATTATCACCACATTTAGAAAACTTGACAAAATTAAATAGTGATTATCATAACTACGAAATTAGAGGCAGTATAGATGTTCATCTGCAAAATTGTAATACTAGCATAACTACCAAAATGGAATATTTGAATTCAATTAATTGAACAACAGTGTTCTAATTTAAAAATGTTTGAAGTGAAATTAAAAAAAATCACTTTATGAATACCCAAAATGCATAGTTATGTAATTTTAATAGAAAAATTACCGAAAACTGATACAAAAAATGTGTAAAAGGATAACCATACAAAATTGACATTGTAGCATTAATGCTAAATAAATATTCAATAAACGAACAGAATATATTGACAAGCTTCTTACCATTCTATGAACAAGTTGCTGTATAGTTTTCCATAAGTTGTCGAAGCTACAACCTAGTGTAACTTGCTTTGGCTTCTGAAGAAATGGCGTTTTGTCATAAACACTTCCAAAATTTTTTATTTGTTCGTCTATATACCTTAAAATTAGGTGCGTTCCAACATAGAACCTGAAAAGATATTACAATAGTATTTTGCATCATAATCTCCGCAGCTGTTCAGAACCTATCTAAAATTAATTCCAAATAAACATTTTTCTTATGGCCTTGGAAAATCTTATATTCTTCGATAAATTGTTTGAAGAACCATATGTCCTTGGTAGGAAACAGCCAGCATTTGATATCGGTGTCCTTAGTTGATCGGGCTATATCTTCAATGATGTCACTCAAAATACGAAGGTCTTGTTTCAAAGACAATAAAATGGTTTTATCCACGAGATCCATCAGACAGTACCAAGTACGTATGACACAATGACATAAATATAACCCCAGGAGTGAATGTGTCACTATAAACTTGACTAACTGGGTGTTGGCTATGTTGTTGCCATCTAACTTCCAACTTGTTTTGTACTAGTCTGTACTAAGGTCACGTGCTCTTATACAGGGTGACTTTGAAGTTGAGTCATTAATTTTCAGATAATGATTGTAGAAGGAAGATAAACCAAAATATGTGTGTAAAAATAAAAAAAAACTTACCTTGTTTTATAAAGTATCCTCCCGACAAGTATTTCAGTGCGGACCTGTATTTGATCGTGAGGTCTTGGAGCACCGGCATGCCGTCCCCTGTGAGGTCCTAAGTCACCTGATTCACGAGCCCGTTGTACTACATTAACAAAGGCACGAGGGGTTGGTTGCACTCGATTGGGAAACCGATCCGCATAAACATGTGCCATTTTTGATTTCGTTTGAGCCACGCAACAGACACCACTATTCACTCACGCGTTACCGACTGACACTGACTGTATACAACTGTATAAAATAATTGTAAAAACATCGTTCCAAATTCTTTCGCTTTTTTGTTTCCGATGCGATGAACCGATAAGGCGGATTATATCCGTTGTTGCCAAACACGAGCACATAATATTATTATTGAGACAGGGCGGTACTCAAACTTCCAAAGGGCTATAACTTTGTTACTTTAATTTTACCAGAAAAATGGTAAAGGAAAAAACATTTCTTTTGATCAGATCTACTCACTGTTAAAATAAATGACTCAACTTCGAAGTCACCCTGTATCGCCGCTCAGCTTAAATGCTACTGTATATCATTTGGCACCTATAGGAATATACAGGGGGTTCCAGATGTCGCCCGCAAGAGGGCCAAGTCATAACAGTTATCAGAAAAATATAAGAAAATTTAAGTCGTGTACTTTTCAAATTTTATGGTAAAAAAAGTCGAAAAAATCCATACATTGTGATGATCTCTTGATTCCCATTACTACAAATTTTTTTCTTAGATGTAGTGACGAAGAGCAAGACAAATAGTAGTTGGCATCGTTTCTTCGGGGCTTTAAGATATCGAAGAATTGTTTGCTTGTTAATTGTAATGTGTGCTAATAAGGAAACCTATTTAAGCAATATCTACTTGTGGTTTTAGCGTATCCGTTAGACTTATCCAACCTAATAAGAATAGACGTGTTCCTTTCAAGATAAAGTACACGTGGTATTTCTTTGTTTAAACTACATTATATCTTTGTTGCGTGTGTAATCTGAATAAAAAATGGTTTTGCTTGATACGTGGTTGGGTACGAGGCGATTCTATACTAACGACCTTCCGCAACAAAAAAAATGGCGTCGAGTAGGTTGACTACGAACTTTCTATGCAACGCCGTTAAATATGTACTCTGAGAAAAAATTGAGTTACGGACATGTAGAACAGCGAAATTGAACGTATTAAGTCAGTCAAACAGGCCCATACAATTAGTCCATAAACATTCTTTCCCTACTCTACTGGTAGTTACAAACAGTTATTGATGCTTTCGGAGATATTTCGTTGAAAGTACAAAATATAAAGCAAAACAATCAGTAGAGGTGATGGTACACGTGAGATGGATTGCGGCTAAGTATTGTGAAAGATGCAGAAGCTCAGGAGACTGTCATAAAGTGCCACAGGTATGCTATGGAGTTAACATAACAACGTGACGTAGTTGGTAGATTAATTAAAATTACATGGAATAGTTATCTCTGGAATCATCTGTATACTTCTTGTAGTTGGCACCGTTGTTTAAAGTATAAAAGCATTTTTTGCGGAGTACAGTCAGAAAGCCGTAAGTTTTATTAAGCAAAATTCTGCAAAACAGTATTATGCTCAATCTAAGCTCAAGCAATGTTCAAGCTAACCTCAACCTATGCTCAAGCCATTCTCAAGCTTTGCTGAAGCTATGGCTCAAGCTATGATCAAAAGCTAGGCTCAAACTATGCACAAGGTATTTTCAAGCTGCAGTTCAAGCTATGTCCAAGTAGTGGCTCAGCCTTTGCTCAAACTGTGGCTCAAGTTATGCTCAAATAATGATCAAAGATGCCCAAGCTAAGCTTAAGTTATGCTCAAGCTATGATGAAGCTATACTTATACTATGCACAAGCTGTGGCACAAGCTATGGATCAAACTATTGCTCTATGCTCAAGCTATGATGAAGCTATGCACGAGCTATATTCAAGCTGTGGCTCTAGCTATGCCCAAGCTGTTGCTTAGCCTATGCTCAAGCTATGCTTAATCTAAGATCAAGCTATGAAGATATACTCAAACTATGCACAAGCTATGTTCAAGCTGTGGGTCAAGCTACGGGTCCAGCTTTCTTTAAGTTATGGCTCAAGCTATGCTTGAGTTATAACTCAAGCTATGCTCGCGCAACGTATCAGCTATCATCAAGCTACGCTCAAGTTGCGCTCATACTATGCCCAAGCTATGGCTCAGGCTATACTCAAGGTATGGCTCAGGCTATGCTCAAGTTATGGCTCAAGCTATGACCCAAAAGTTTCGCTCAGCCTGTGGCTCAAACTTGGCTTAAAATATGCCCAAACTATGATTAAGCTATGTTCAAGCTTTGCTCAACAGCGCATGCTCAGTCGGTTTCAAATAGTTGGAAATGTGATGCTAGAAACTAACTATTGTAATGAGTTTTGTAGTTCAACAAGAACATAAACATTTTCGAAAGCTTGACACGTTTAAAGAACAAACTTTCTGGCCTCCTGACATTTGATATCAAGCTTAAGAGTTTTCCATTTTGAGAAAAGAAACCTTGGCGATTATAAGCTATTGATGTATGAAATAAAAACCAATAATAGAAAAACTGAGGAAGTGAAGCATTTTAACACTGGTCTGACTTGTGTGAGTATAATAATGTGGTTTTGATTTCGCTGTTGACCAAGACATTACCAGATTTTGAAGTTTATCTACAACCAAGTCTTTTACTAGAATATTCCTATTGTAAAATTTTCCAACCGATAACTGTAGGCTAGGCGGTCGCCGAGATACGGCCTCATTATTGGCCCACCCTAACGCACGTTTATGGCGCTCATACCCAATATACTAAACATTTACACTATGGCGGGCATGTAAAATGAAAATATTTCTTTATGATCACGCAGAACGCGCGAACGCTATCAAACGCGAAACCGCAATTCCGGGATCTGGTTAAAACAGTTTTATTTTCAACTTCAAACGGTTAACAACTAGAATGATTGCCGCCAAAAATATTTTGATTACAACATGTTGCTTTATTATGTTTGCTGCGAGGTGCTACTGTTTGGAGTTCGAATACCATTCGAATGAGGAATTGGAGCAAGTGTTGAGGAATTTTTCAACGCAAACTGACGATGCCGGTGCGGTAAAGACCGAATTGTATAGTATTGGGAAAACGTATAAAGGTAAGCATTTTTATTGGTCTTACAAAGTGTCAAGGTAAGTAAGGAATAGGCTGATTTTTATAAAGAAAACCTATAACTTTTGTGACAGTAAATTATTTATGGTATCAACCCCCTGCAACCCCCAGGTTTCAACCCCTACAAAAAGTTTTCCGAAAATAAGTCTCTGAAACGACAAAAACAAAACGAAATTTTTTTTTTTCATGTTTTTGCCCCTAGTCCTGCCACCACTAGACCCATTTTCTCAATTATAAAAATTTGTCGTACAGTCGACATTTTACGAGTGATTTAAGGGAAAAGATATAAGTGCAATGATATTTTCGTTTAGAATAGCTAAACAAGGAATTTACGAATATAAAGCACTACTATATGATTTTGGTAGAGAATAACATTTGCAAAAAGGGGCCTTTAACGTTTTTTTTCGAAATGATGATGATTCTTGAAGTAAAACAAGGATTTTCGTAGCTTTTTATAATTTGAGAATGGTGCAATACCTTTTTATGATCTTTTCAGATGAATATTAATCGCTCATTCTCTTGAATAAAAGTACTTATGTCTTAAAAAGACGTAAAGATGCATTTTTCATGTACTTTTTTATACTCAATGATTTTTAATATAAATAATCATAGAATTATTTCTCATTTATCTTTGCTTACCAGCAATTCCATGCAGAATTGATGATTATTCAACAACTAGCAAAGTAGTGCTATAAGCTTTTGGTAAAAGAACCGTTCAGCCATAAGAGCTCTCTATTGTTGTTGCCTGAACACCAAAACGCTGGCTTAATGTTGTGTGCAATGCAAATTTGCTTTCTGCAACATATTTGCTCTAAAATGTGGTGTTTAAACTATTCTTATAGCATAGTTATACAACACCTTATAGGACAAATTTTTAACTGTTGCATAAACGTTTATACAACTATTTTATACGGCATATTTGCACGTTACTCAAAATGGTTGTGTTGTGGCATCCATGTAACCTTTATAAAACAAACCCGAGCCTTGTTATATTGCTGTGCAAATTTACTACTTTAGCCACCAAATTGATCCCAACGGAAGCACTTATACAACTGTTGTTTAGTAACTGTTAAAGGCTGTACATATGCAACAATATTACAACTTTTGTAGTACACAATTGCTGTGCTCGGCATACTTCACCATAACCTAACTTTCTGCTGTCACATTTTTGTTAAAATGCCATAACCAATGTTTTAAGACAAACAACGCATGCATATTGATTCAAAAGGTTTTATCAACTGTTCAAACAGAAGATATAGATCTGGTACAAATTCTGGGTAAATCATTCGACTCTGCCGGTATTTCATTTCTGACATTTGTCAAATTGTTGTATAACACCTGCAGGCAACACCAAAATATTCTAATAAACTAAAGACTACATGGACGATGCCATGATTATACACAACCACTCGCCATATTGGGCAAACATTTATTCCTCTATTTGATATTAAATAATTATGTTTCAGTTCGAAATTACGGATATAAAGTGATAAACATTAGTGTAATTGTGTCTAAATATAGGATTTGTCGAAGATTTAACGCAGATAAGTTCAGTTTTCCATCTTAAAAATCTAGACATACTTTTGATCATTATCAAAATATGAATCAAATACGAAGCCCGTAGAAATTGCGTAACTACTTTGCACGATAATCACAATAAAATTTGCTGCGCAAGTAATTCAATAGCCCTATATCACAGTGTAGAAGTCTATCATATACCTGGGTATGAAATTTACAATGGCCGATATGTAAGTAAACAAGATGACTGTATTGTGTTAGTTATATATTCTTCACTTGGTCTATACAATATATAAGAAATAGCTTGGTAGCAATAAAGTAGAATCACGTAACAGAATAGTTGTATAGTTGACAAAAACTGAATCTTGCACTGACGCAAATGTCCTATAGCGGCTGCAAGAGGCTTACACTTTTGTTGTATAACTGTTACCTGCAGCCCTTATACAAATGTCTGAAGTGTCCTATTAGGTGTGCCCATTCCGCTTGTATAGCTGTTCTAAGAAGGTTTTGCCAATGTTCTTATAGTATACAATGCTGTGTAAGGAATACTGTATAATCATTCTTGCAACTCTAATAGGAGTGATAATTGTTAGTTGCGAAAATGTTTAACATTGTCTTTTGATGAACAGGCACTGAGCTTTGGGTATTTGAACTAACGGCAACAGACGACGAAACCTTGGGTATACCGAACGTCAAGTTGGTTGGAAACATGCATGGGAATGAACCCGTTGGTCGAGAGATTCTCTTGCATTTGATAGAGGTAAGATAACCACAGATCCCCTCTAATTCAATGGGTCATGTTTTGTGTAAAATTTATTGACTAAATAATATCAGTACATGATATAATATCAGCTGTGTGCGCTGTGGTACCATGGGGCTATACGGGGATACAGGGGAAAGGGCGGATGCCACACGGAATCCAGGGAGGGAATACAGGGTGTCCGCAAAGTTGGGGTTTTCCTTTACACGACGTGTAGATATCGAAAACATAAGCAATTTTTCTTAGTACCATATACACCAATGTCTTAAGGGAATCGAGATAAAGGGCTCTGCAACATCAAAAATATCTGAATACCGTCCTGTAGCTGCGACCCGCGACATCACCGAGTGGTACAAGGTCACTGGCTCAACCCGACGACAGAACTGGGTCGGGGTCAGTTTGTCAGGTCAGTATGCAACCTTGCGGTTACGGTCACGCGTGTAGAGGTAATCGCGTAGACGAGAATCCCTCAACAAGCACTAGAGACGTGGCTAGAGAAGTGCAAGTATCAAAAACTAAAGTGTGGCAAACGCTGCGTGAAGAGGGGCTGTATCCGTTTCACGTCCAACGTGTACAAGTCCTTCAACCGGACGATTTTCCAGCAAGAGTGCGGTTTTGTGAGTGGTTGTTGCATCAACATGACAATAATCCGGACTTTTTGAAGTGCATATTGGTGACAGACGAATCTACGTTCACGCGTAATGGGGTGAATAACTTTCGCAACACTCATGCTTGGTCAGTAGAAAATCCGCACGCAACATTTTGCCTTCCTTGTTTATCTGCGTCTGCTCGGTAGCGCATCAGCTGATTTCATTTTCTGTTGGATCGGTATGATTTCGGGCAGAGACGTACTTAGCCCTTCTCGTCAACTGGAGAGTGAGTACTTTTTCCTTTATTTTTTTTTAACTTGGTCGCCCTCGTTTCACTACACATTACCTTTGTTATTTCAAGGGTAGTTGTTTCTGAAAAGGAAAACCCCAACTTTGCGGACACCCCGTATAGCTTGACCATAGTTTGAGCATAGCTTGAACATAGCTTGAGCTATAGCATAATACCCCTGCCGTGATCGGTCTTGCGAAAAAGATGTCAGTGACTACTCGTCGTTTTATCAATAAGTACCGACCACATACTTTCTTCGCCATTGAGCGAGAAACCATTGTAATAGGCGAAAAAGATTCGAAAATGAGATATTATTTTTTGGATGCTATATGACATGAACATCACGAAAAACCGTCCACCCAGGAAAAGGCCAAAAACAAAGAAAAAATAGAAATCGCTCAAACCTTGTTTTTTGAGGTTTCAGCGGATCATTTTTGAAAAAAGTTAGCAGTAAAAATCGTGTCGAACTCCGTAGATCCAGAACTGGCCGATGCGATTGCTCCTTGATCCCTAGAGGATCAGGATTGTGGAACAATCTACACGAGGTTTTTCCCAGTTCTACTAACCTTAGGCTGCTTCGCTATAAAAAAATATCTATAGACCACCTTGTTTTTTTCGTAGCTAATATTGATTATTTTATTCACAGTACTTATTGGATAATTACAACAAAAACGAAACTATCACTTGGCTGCTGAACAATACTAGACTCCACATTCTTCCCTCACTAAATCCTGATGGTTTCGCTGAAGCCACTGAAGGTTTGTGTCGAGGAAATAATGGTCGATTTGTGAGGGTGAGTCTATAAAAGTTTGCATTTCTTTAAGATTATCGTAAGTATATGAAACAACAAGAGAACGGGATACAGATAAAGAAGACAAAGCAGACAGCAAGACAAATGTGCTAGGTTTAAAAAAATATTAGTATTTATGAGTCTAGTTTTAGGATATACTAAATTCCATGGTGCAAACTTCAAGATTCATGCTATCTGTGGCCGATGTTGTTTACTAAAATGACACAAGAAGTTCCTAATAGAATATAGTATATTTTCCTAGGTGGATCCTGAGAGCGCGATTCCAGAAGACTTGATCGACTTGAACCGCAATTTTCCCGATCCGTTCTACCACAGCAATTTGACATTCGACATAACCGAATCCACCTGTCTGATGAAATGGATGGAGAACAAAACATTCTCATTATCAGCAGCGCTTCATGGAGGCGAATTGGTGGCCAACTATCCGTACGATTCTAGTACACATGCAGGTGAGTGTTCCTGGTTACTCTAGGAGGCATCTTCGGATGTGAGTCAAGGAATGTTTGAGCATTTGTTTAGACAAGTTCAAAAAATTGGTTCTTTAGGTCATTCTGAACAAAAAAAAAATATGGCATGAAGTAGATTGACTTTATATTTCCTACGCCTTCCTTGGATGATTTTTTAAAGGAAACCATGCTGCTGCTCCGTATGTTAGTATTATGTCCACTAGTTCATTGTTTTCTTAAAGATGGGCCATTTTTTCCCACAAAATAATCAGACAAAATAAATGACTCAACTTTGAACATGAGAATGTTTCTTCCTGTTTCCAGCTGATGGTCTTCCATCTCGCACTCCTGACGACGACGTATTCCAATATTTAGCGAAAATCTACGCGAGTAATCATCCTAATATGAAAGGATGCAGTAATCTTACCAATTTCACCGATGGTATCACAAATGGTGCTGAGTGGTATAGCTTTGAACGTAAGTGCACCTTAGTAATCCAGACATTCCTTAATTTTAGTTTCCAGTTTAGATTGTCTGTTTGTTTGTGATGTATTTACCATGATTGGTACATTCTGTTTAAAAACTACTACTACTATTCAGAAAAACAAAGCTCGCATCTCCGAGAATTTTCACTGTCCATTGTCATTTACACCATGTAGATAACAAATAAAATATGACAGAGTCGGATTATAACTTTTTTCGTCTATTTGTATTGTAGGTGGAATGGGCGATTACAATTATGCATACCATGGCTGCATGGAGCTGACTTTTGAAATATCCTGCTGTAAATATCCAAAAGCGAAAGAGCTGCCACGTTACTGGAATGAAAATTTGAAGGTACGTTTTTGGTTCACTTCAATCGAAAATATTTCTAATTCAGTTCAAAACGCTTAATTTCATCACGAATTAAAGTTCAAATAAAGGGTTATTAATAAAATTATTTGAAAATATACTACAAGTTAAAATCGCATAGCTTTTGCAGTTGACTATTCTTAAAACGTCTATAGTTATGAAAAAATTATTTATTCAGTATTTAGTAATTAAAAAAATCTAGAAATAAAAAGTCCCTTAACATCCTAAGTTTGGGACATTTAATTTGACTTTGTGGCTGTGCCTTCTGTTCTAGCCACTTCTACTATTTATTATGCAATCCAACACGGGAGTGACAGGTCAGATTTATGATTATCTTTCCAACAAACCGATTGCAAAAGCAAGAGTTATGGTCGCTCAAAGGAACGTGACATTTTGGAGTTCGTGGAATGGCGAATATTGGAGAATTCTATTGCCAGGAGAATATACCCTAAAGGTAATTTGTATCCAGACTTTATTTATTCCATCTTAACAACGTAACATTTATTAGCATTTCCCATATTTAACAAAAAAAAAATATATAATTCCTGGCTCCATGGAATGTCCTTATACGAGTCTCTACCAAACGATTTGAAAAATATGACTCTGAAGAAGTTTGAAATAAATTTCAAGTAGCAACTACTGCATATGTAATTGTAATGGTTTCTAGTATTTAACTTTTACATTGCTCTATTTTAACATTTTCGGTGATTATATATATATATATATATATATATATATATATATATATATATATAGGTGAAAAATTAAAGCTTACTGGACGTTTCCCTCATCCTATACGTAAACAATAATTAGCAACATCCTCACATAATACTGTAAGTTGAGTCAATTTAAATTCATTTTACACTTTTGTTGCTACTGTTATCATTGTAATTGCAGCTCCTGATGATGATGGCAAAGTCCATTGAAAGCTAGAGAGAATTAAAAAAGTATAAAGAGTCCTCTTTGCTTAAATTTTGTCGAAGTACCCAACAAACGGTGGAAGCTTTAATTTTTCACCTAACTGGTCTAGACTACAATGACCACGTCTCAAGTTATATATATATATAGTATATATATATATATATATATATATATATATTGTATATGTGTATAGTATGTGATACATAGTCACTGACGTATCAACTAGCTAAGTGGAAGAACTCATCTTTGGAGAAATTGACAAATTATGCAAAGTGTACTCTTTTAACTTACAACTCAAGCTTTCGACTGTCTATGCCGACATCATCAGGAGTGCGTCAACGAGATAACTTTTATTATGGAATCACAGGTTGAGGCTGATGGGTATCACTCTTCGACTAAACATTTTACTGTCAGTGAGCAGAAAGGACCCTATCCGTCACTGACGATACTGGATGTACCGATGTATAATTCAACAGTATTCACTACAACGTCAACAAGTCCTTCACCAACAGCAACGTCACCAAGGTGGACAGTTGCAGCAACATTCAGTGGATATCAAATCAATGCGCAAAATCCACCAGTACACAAATCTCTGCCTGGAGTACACAGTCACTATTCTTCCAGTAGTATTTCTTATAAGATTTATGTTCATTTTTACACAGTGCTTTATTTTCTTCTTGTACTCCATTGTGTAATATAACAGGTTCATTTCCGTTATATTTTGTTTTATTCCACATGCGTGTCAGGTCTTTATGTCATTCATGTGTGGAACTGAGCCAAAAAAAAAAAAGAAAAAGTAGGAATTACAGCTTCTATATATATACAGTATGTACCTCAAACACATATACTCATTACACCATACAGGGTATCCCAAAAGTGCATTTAAAAAAGTTTTATTAATTCAAATGGCGGTCAATGAAGACGAGACTGGTTGAGGTCCAGTGTCAGGCCAGTGAAGGTCCTTTATTTATTATGATTGTATGAACTGCTTAGTTATTTTATTGATTATTGAATACCTGCTTGGTTTGTTGTGTCTTACAAATATGAATCGTTTATAATAAAATCTTACATCACAAAAACCAGTCTTATATTAGTTTTTTGAATTTCGCAAGTTTTAAATTTGGTACGGAAGCTCCAGGGAATTAATAAAGTGTGGCTTGGTGGCATTGATTACACCAAATTGCGTGTTTGGGTTAAATAATCAAAGACGTACGTTTTCGTTCCTTCGAGACAAAAAGATTCGATATCGAACATAACAGCCCATCATTACATTAGACAACTGTCACTTCTGTTTGACAATCGCTTAAATTTGTTTATGAAAACAAAAAGTGATATCAAGTTTTTTTGATTTACCATATTAAATTTCGAATGCTGCTTTAATAGATTATATAGAATCTGTCAATATACCGATGTTTTTCGTTCATATACAATAAAGGATGGATGTTAATTTTAAAAACAGCATTATTATGAATTCAGTACTGTCTGAAAATGCAAGAGGTGAGAGGCGATAACACCAAATAGCCGGTGGCGATATGAAAAACGCAAAACCACCAGAAGGATTCGACGTTATGGCACGCAGGTGAATCCAGCGCGATGCAGCAGAGCGGTACTCGGGAACATACTCTTCGGAAGAAAAGGATTAAGTTTTGTAGCTCATTTTTCAAATAAAGAAGTAAAGTGTGAAAGTGAAATGAAATACGTATTTAGGTGAATGATCTTGAAGTGCGCGTTTCTGGAAGAAGTCTCCTCATCATAGCAAATTAGGTAAGTAGCTTTACATCTTTGACATCGCTACCATCATATACATATTTATATTTTGGTTAATAGTATGAAAACTAATGTCTAGATAATTAATTACAATAGCAATCAACGTTACTTCAACAACTTGATTCAGTCATCTCTCATCTCATCCAGACTTGCAAGAGAAAATGTTTGAAAATTTTCAGATCCGTCTCTGTCCTCATGCCTCCGGTTCTCGGTTTTATAGCCGTTTTATGACTATCGGCAGAAAACGTAAACGTTGTCGTCTACTATACAACGTTATTAAAATTCTCATTTATTTAAAAAAAACATAGGATGTCAACCCTAACGCACAAGTGATGAGTATGCAAGGCTCACCTTGTTTGCTGCACAGATATCCTGTTTCCCTTAGAAGAGTTGGAAGTAGACCTAATTTCCACTTTGGAGACACTTGACAGCTAAACCACCACTGAGACACAATCGAGAGCCCTATAGTGAACACCACTACTACAAAAAAGTAGCTAAACCGAACAGAGCTCTGCACGGAGCGTAGACATTCCGCTGCGGCGATACAGTGCTGCCGGGTAGTACAGCCACGCCCCTTTCCACTCCGCTCCCGTCAACGTAAACATCGAGTCGTTTCGTGATACTGTCAGATAAGAAAACGCAGACGCGTGGAGTGGGAGCTGGAAAGGGGCGTGGCTGTACTACCCGGCCGTACTGTATCGCCGCAGCGAGGTACACGCTTCAGTTTCTCGGCAACCGTCGCCGCAGCAGAATGTCTACGCTCCGTGCAGAGCTCTATTCGGTTTAGCTATTTTTTTTAATAGTGGTGTTCGCTATAGGGTTCTCGATTGTCTCTTAGTGGCGTTTTAGTGTTGTGGCGTGGTTGTCAAGTGTCTCCAAAATGGAAATTAGATCTACTTCCAACTCTTTTGTGGGAAACAGGATACATGTGCAGCAAACCAGGTGAGCCTTGCATACTCATCTACTTGTGTGTTATTGTTGATATCCTACGTTTTTTAAATAAATTGCGCACATTGCATAGACTGAGACATTAGTCATATATTGAGGTATTTGTGAAAAACTAAAAGTTGGCCAAATCGTTTTTATTTTTGTCTGACTTTATTTTAAGTGTTTTCAAATCTGCACGAAGTGCACAACATTTGAAAAAGTACGACCCTAGCGTATCTAATAGCATCTTTTTCTATGACTTCAACGATGTATCATGTTACATTTGTTTTTTTAAACTATAAATAAACGTGTTTTTTCTATTTTTTCATTTTATTTAAATAGGCGTTGCAAACAAATGCTTGATGTAAGATTGCGTGGTTACTGAATTTAACCTAGTCTGATCCTTATCTTGGCTATCCTGTAATACATTATTATAAGAAATTCACAGAAACGTGCACTAATCCAAGGTTCTTGTAAGTATTCTTATGTACTTACATTCATTTCTGAAAAATCTCAAAACTATTAGCAAATCCTCAAACAAAATACTATTTTTAGTCCAAGGAATTGGTGATAGTCTATAATTGACAGTATCGTGCTTTGACAGTAAGACCTTGGCACAATGTTTACTAAATATGGTGCAAAAAATCAAGCGTTGATTCTCTGGCGCTTTCAAACCTGGAATATCAGCCTCGTGTTTAGGAAACTACAATGTCTTACCTTGGTTGTTGGAGGATACGTGGGCACCAAATGTCCAACAAGAGTAGGGATGTGATGCGTCTGCCTGTAATTCCACATGATCGACGAGTTATAAGTTGGATTCAAGTTATCAAGCTGTCCAATTTTAGCTTTCTCAAAATGAATGCCGATCTCTGCATATAAGACGGATACTAATAAATCGTAGAGTTGAAAATCGTACTTCTCCTATTAATGATCATGTAATTTTAGATCAACAACATTGTTTTTTTCCAATTGTTGGAAGCAGTCCCGTATTCAAAAAGTATTTTATCATATAAAACTGGGAATTTAAAAAATGTTCAGAGACATTAACATTGCTAATATTTTATTCAATTCTTTTTTTTATAACATTCAATCAAAATAGCAGAGGTAGCGAAATTGTCCGATGAGCTGGCAACGCTGCAATCCAGGTGGCAAGAATTACAAGGTTATCTGTCAAGACGGATGTCTATCCCGGGGTACCGACGGAATCATTTAGTACGTCAAAGCAGCAATTTTCATTTGCATAACGTTTATTTTCTGTATTTCATTTGTATTTTTAATAAAATTGTTCGATTTTGAGCAATATTTGTTCTAAACCGAAAAAAGGTACTGAACAAAATTTGCGTATGTTTTGTTGACTGTTTGTCACCAAACAAATGATTTAATTTCAGTAAGGCGTAATTAGATTTGATTGATATGAAAATAACTTGTCAACTTATTATTGTAAATGTCTCTAGTTCAAAAAGTTTTTTGTTAAAATGTCGATATGTCAAATGAAAACACGGAAAAATCTTAATAAAATATATTTTTAAATATAACGAATAAAAAACAACTATATACTTATATAAAATTACAACTAATAAAATCTTAAAACAACTGCACCATTAAAAATAATTACCAAAAATCGTAATCCGTATAATGATGCTTGTCATAATTTTTACATTAAAATACCTCTCGCCTTGCTTATATAAATTACAAGCAAGTTTCGGTAGCGCTAACATTCTCTTTCAAGAAAACTGTACATGTTAAAACACATTATAAAATAATAAAAATACAGGCTATGTCAAATATTGAAACGCATATAAAAACGACTCGATTTGACAACACTTGTAAAATACTTTTCATCTTCGACACCAAGAGAAAAAAATCTCGCAACAAAGATTTAACAATTACCCAGCATTGAGCTTGTATAAAAATATCGTATGATGCTAAAGGATCTTTTCGTTTGAAATAAAAATTTGAGATGAAAAAAACTCTTAGGCAAGCAAATATGAATCACTATGCAGGTTGAGAATTCGTGCTCGAATCATTTATTTTGTTGTGTAGAAAGCATGTGTACTATTTAGATGTGAAATATAGTAAAAGTAACCAGAACCACGCGCAAGGATTGAGGGAGCCACGTTTTGATCGATTTTTTTTTAATACCCTACCATAAGAAATCAGTAAAATAGATGTTTTTTCTCTAAAGTTTGTCGTTTCAGAGCTGTTTGTAAAACCCTAAAAATGCTCATCTTCACTGACTAAAAACTCGTTTAACAATAATTATTTTTGCGACTGCCAGGTAACTAAATTGAAGCTAAAACCTTCCCCTACAAGACCCCAAGGTTTAGCTAGAAATACGCTGTGTATAAATCCTGTAAAATCTTTTTTGTCATGATTTGAGAGGAAAGGGGATTTAAAAAATCTGTTCATAAACTGCGTTCCCCACATTTTGCACACTCAATTCCATCCAGTGTTTGGTCTTTTCAAAAAAATCATTAGTACACACCGAAATATTCCTAAGTAGCATTTATTTTATGTAATGCAAAAATGTGGACACGTTACATTTATTTATTTATATTGAAAGAGGCACCTTGGTGAATTTAAGCTTATAGATCGATGGAGTATCGTTGTATGAATCATATTTTTTTTTATAAAACCTTCAGTGTACAAGCTAGTGGCGAACTTTAATAGTGACTGGATCATTCAAAATGTAAGCTAGTGATTTGAATATTTTTGGATCATCGTAAAAAGTCGCGAAATGTACGAAATCCTGCTTAAGTGTTATCTTATCCTACAAACAAATAGAATATCACAAAATGCTTTGATTTGTTCTGATCTGTTTAACGTATTACGTAAAATCTGACGGATTATATTTTCGGTGCTGAACAGAAACATTGAAGTGCGATTTTATGTGAAAAGTAGCTAGAAAAAAAAAATAGTAAAAAAATATACAATATGTACATCTCGACCGATTTCAGCTGCTGCTAGTATTGCTTTGTATAGAGCTCAGTTCAAAAAAAAGTGTAATTAGTCCTCGATTAAATATTTTTGCAGCGATCCTATAAACATCATGAAAAAAGCATATTGATATATGTTGTTGAGCATCATCAGAAAGATAAAAAATGAACGTACTTGAGCAATCTACATTTAAATGTCAGTAGAGTTGAGAAGTTTTATATTTTTATCAATCAAGTGAAACAAACCGGATTGGTAAGGCATCTCCAATCGCTTTCTAGTTACGCCACGCCGTCTCGTAGGCACACACCACGGTACCAACGTGCGCGGACAGAAACCTGTGTTTTTCAAATGACGGCGGAAAACTTTGAACGTTTTATCAAGTTCACGGGAATTAGTGAACGGTGTGCCGCAAGGGTCAATTTTGGGACTGTGTTGGACCTTCCAAAAGGCTACATTGCGAGAACTATTTTCTCGCAGTATGTGGATGACTCGTGTGTTAAATCATTTCTCAAACACGGTAAGGAACGGACCATAGACTATTAAAATCAGTGGGGACTGAAGGGTAGTGCGCGGAAACACTGAAAAGAAATTAAGGTTGGAAACGAGATGGTGGTCCAATACCTTGGCTAAAGCAGCACTTGCGATGTTGGACGTCATAATTGGACGGAAATTAAATGTCGACATGAAGGTGCGAGTACCAAATTTAGGTCTTGTAGAAAGCCTGTAAGGTTGCAGGGAGGTGTCCACGTTGTCTTCCATCCAAACAACTTAGGAAAATGCTCGGCAAGGATCTCTGCCATATCGGCGTAGCAAACATGCAACAGAAAATGCTAGTGAAGCTACAGGGATAATCAATGACAGTACTACGTGTCCACTTGGCTCTTCAGCAGCCAGGGTATCAAAGGAGAGGAGACGATGTCTTGCAGCCCTTTATAAGGGCTGGATGTGGAATTTCTCAGGCCTTAGCACCCATCCTTAAAGGAGGCTGACTTACGATCATCGGATGCTAGCGCAGATACAATGAGATCAATTCTGTGAGATATCTGACAAATAAATTAATATTAGTCTCTTTCCGGAAGCCCAATGAAAACTGATTTAGGTGAAGACGTAGCCGGGCATCATGAATGTAATTTTTTCGATAAACAAAATAATCCTGCAATGTTATGTAAGATAAGTACGATAAGCACTAATTTCTTGAACGAAGCCCTGTACAAACATAAAATAACGCCACAATCTACACAAAAAGACTTGGTGGTCACGGGTTCTAAACAAGGTAATCTTTCTTCACGTCCTTACGCAGTAACAACCAAATATACTATTTATCGATTGCATATGTTCTTTTTGTGCTGGTTGCTTTGTACATTCCGCAATTGGCAAGCCTTGGGGATATGCTAGGAGCCTGTGCATTTGAAGAGGTCCTCACATTCTTATAAGCGATCGCATCCGATTAACGCATCGACCTACAAAGTTCTTCTTGTTTTTCGAGTCGCTCGATTCACTGTGTACGGAAGATTTGTCGTCAGCACTGTTAGTGTCTATGCGGTCATCGTCTGTGGTACTGCTGGTGCTGCTGCTGCTGCTGCTCAGACTGCGTTTCGTGTCCAAATCGTCGCAGCTCTGCGTTGCTTGGGGGTGGGACGGAGTGGTGTGTTCAGTCATGGCCCAACCATTCTGCAATACAAATCACAATTATGGGTTTACCGGTTTCGCAAATATTTTCGGTAAAAATCGATGACATCTTAAAGAGGAGGGTACTATATTTGTCTATATTGTAGCGTTTTTCTGGGTTCTTTTCGGTGTGGATTAAAACACTCGATTCCACAAAAAGAAATGCACTAATTTATTTGAAACACATTTAACTTTAACTTGATTAGATAGAACATTAATGTACACCATTATTTATGTCTGACTACTTATTTACGAATTATGTCGCGCCATTCCTTGAACTCTGCTGCCCTCTCCCGGCCATCGGGTTATATATTTCGCATCGCAGGTACTCGTTAGTTCGAGAAGGTTCCGGTAAGCCACATAGCGGCCAGCCCAGAACCTTCGGGGTCAGTCTTTGATCTCGAAGGAGAGTAACTGGCGCGGCTCTCAACAGATGGCGCTAGTAGTACCGAAGGAGAATCCCAGGCGCGGTCTCAACAGAGGGCGCTAGTAGTACTATTCGTTCTTGTTACAATATGTATCGGTTTTAGATCAAGTTACTAAATACTGCAAATTACATACAAACGCTGATGATACACATATTTATCTTATAACCTTGCTATGTAAATCTAAGCGAATGAGTTGCTCTCAGAGGATTTAAATAGTATATGTTTTATAAACATAATCTTTGAAGTCGAAGATCTGTACTTTTTTGTTTGGCAATTGATGCTGTATCTTTAAAAATAAAGTGGTGGGGGGTATTTAAAGATGTCCGTAAAAAACCACCCCGTATCTTCGAAATGGCTAAGCCGATTTCAGCAAACTTAGACTAGTTGGAAAGAGCTATTCTTGGGTTACAAATGTTATAATATTTAAAGTTTTGTTAGTTTCATATGTGGCCGCTAGAGGGCTTTTTTGACATTCCGACAGAAACGGTTAATTTTCTCAAAAGAATTGAATGCATTGGTATGATTTTTGTTTATTAATAAAGTATCTAAGTGATATCTGAACAAGCTTGAAAAAACCGCATAAAGATATCTTGTTCCTAAGCTAAAATTTAGGTTAAAGAATATTTTATACGGAAATTCCTTAAAATTTTATTTTTTTAAACTAACTTTTTGGAATTTCTTTTTATTTTTAAGTTGTTAATTTACAGATCAGGCATTTTTTTGTTAAGTTAATACAGAAACATCACTTTTTTAGATTCAAGATTTCAGTTTATGATAGGTTACCGATATCGCATCGTAGTTGGCCACCCTGTACAATAAAATACCTCAAGCATTGAAAATCCTATCTGTGCCCAGCTGTAAAAGAAAATTCAAGCTCTTTGTGTACAATAAAATGTAACATATTTTTTATGCAATTTTATTTTTATTGTTGTTTATTTGTGCTTTTCTTTCTCACTTAGTTATTTTCATTTGATTGTGTTTTGTATACGACTCTGGTCGCTTTTAATTTTTGTATCATTACCCAGCTATTATATTTTAATGTTTGTTGATAAAAGTTTGATTTCATGTTTAAATGCAAGAAGTATTTGGTTCTTCGTGAAATTAATAGCAATAACTCAAAGACGTTCGGAAAAAAGTTGTACAATAATCATGATAATCTTTATTCAGGGATCATCATTGACGACATAGAATACGTCAGCGTTGTGAACGACAGTTACAAGAGGAGTTGGATCCAATTTTGCAAACAAATTGCAAGATATGTATACAGCAAAATGTACAGGGTCGCATAACTTGCAGTATACAAATTGATCAACTTTCACTTTAGATTAAAAAATCACAAGCAATATAAATTTACAAAAAGCAGACACATGAAATTTAAGAAAAACTAAACAAATATACGTTTACAAATGTAAGCATCACAATATATACAGGGTGTCTGCGAAAGATTGGGAAATCTCGAAACTGGAGACACTACAGACCAAAATATGTGAATTGACCTGGTCATGCCTCAGTCCAAAAGTTGATAGTTTTCGACATACAGGGTGTCAAAGTTACAATTTTATTTTCTACGTTTCCTTATTGTTTGAAAAGTATTTCAGATTTTAGCATGAAACTTGGTATGTCAGAATCTGAAATACTTGTCAGGCAAGAAGGAAAAGTAGAAAATAAATTTGTAACTGTGACACCCTGTATCTCGCAAACTATCAACTTTTGGACTGAGGTAGGTTTAGGTCAATTCACATATTTTGGTCTGCAGCATCTCCAGTTTCGAGATGTTCCAACCTTTAGCAGACGACTACACTATTTCTTGACGTCAAGTACACCGTCGTCCAAAAATAATCGGGAACTCGAAAAAGATACAAAAACGAGGTTTAGAAGTAACTCACATCAATTTTATGATGCAAAACGTCCGAAATAGCTCATTACCTGACATTGGAATATTTCCGAAATATTGATAAATTCAGGGGTACCTCAGGGATCAAATCTAGGGCCCCTAGTATTCATAATGTATATTAACGACCTGGCACTGCAGCTATTTAAATTGAAACTATTTTTCGCAGATGATTTGAAGATATTTAGTAAAATAGAAAATTATAGTGACTGTAGGGAATTGCAGCAAGAAGTAAATGCGTTGGCAACAAACTATAAAAACATAGCAAAATGTAAAATTCTGAGCTTTACTGAGAGTAATATTTGACAGTACATTGACGTTCTGCGTCAGAAGCTGGTCGAGTTTTGCTGATGTGAACGGCCTTAAACTAATATATTCATCTTTTATTAGGAGTAAACTGGAACATGCTGCACTGGTTTGGTCGCCAATGTATCAGAACCTGTTTTGTTGTGGAAATTCTAGGATAAAAGATTTTTTGATCAGTTGTTGTATAAAGGGTAGCATAAAAATTTATGATATGTTATTTACCGAAATAGTGCTGCAAGTGGCGCCCTCTAGGAGTTTGGCCATGAAAAATAACGGATTCTTGTTTCTTATACTAGCAAACCTCCCTTTACCTCCCAACCTTTCGCAGACGCCTTGTATAATACCAGCATTAATGAAATTACGAAAAGAATAAATACATAAAATAATAGGACGATAAAATACACGTTGCATCAAAAAAAAGGTTACCAAAAACGTAATTAACGATTTAGAAATATATCCCATTTGAAATTTATGAGAAAAGGTACATTTAAAAAGAAAGATATTTTAGCATTTCTTTGAAATCAGCTCAAAATCGATGATAATAAAATATTAGTGAACTAAAATTTATCTAAATATCTTCAAAAATGGCGAAGATGTGAGCCGTCAAAATTGGGCATTATTTCAGACATTTCACTAAATATCTAACAACAACTTACAATATAAACCATACGTTATATGATATCAAACTTCTTGTTCCTAGCAGCTCTATCCAAATAGGGCAATCCATTAAAAAAATCATGTTTGCTTTGGCACGAAGTTATGGAATACCCTGTATATGTGAAAATAATTTTAAAATATTCACTAGCAGCATATCAAGGTTGTTACGAAAGCAGATTTTTGACATCTTTTCCAGTTTGCTGATAAAACTACCTTCCATTTGTATATCACCATGCATGGACATTTCAAGGAGTATCCGATGAACTTACCTGGGCCTTCAAAGGCGATCCCGCCGCCGCCGCCGTGGCCAGCTGCTCTTTCACCTCGGGTCCGTCTAACAAACCGTCCAGACTTCTCGATCGTCCCGGCTTGAGTTGACCGTCGGAGGCGGGCGGATGACTGGCCAGCGCCAACTGAGACACAACGGGGGCGACGTGATTGCTCGCCCTGCGGGGGCGGGCGGGAGGCAGGCCGGCCGCTGCGCCGGCGCGAGACCGCTCGCTGCCGTTGATGATCCAGCTGCGCGCAGGGCTGTGCGCGCGGCAGAACCTACGGAGCAGAACTGGAAGAGTCAGAATTGTTCGGGTGAATAGCGGGTAAGGCGAGCGGTGGCCGTTAGTTGTACAGGGTGGGCAACAAAGAATGCGAGGTACTGTATCTGGGAACCTATCCGTCGCAGAGGCGTGCGCCAAAAATAATTATTACTAAAACGGCCGTGAAAGTAGCCGTGAATTCTGCTATATCAACCTAACTAAAACGTCGAGGAAAATGTGAACTTTTTTATTTGACAATGTTTGCTCTACTTCAAAATTAAGGTGGTGGAGGGGCATTCAGATGTTTCCTTAAAAAACACCCTGAACCTTCGAAACGGCTGAGAGGATTTTAACAAACTTGGGCTAGTTGAAAAGAGATATTCTTGGGCTATTAATCTTGTAATATTTAAAGTACCGTTAGTTTCACATATGGCGGCTAGAAAGCTTTTTTCGACGCTCCGACAGAAATGGTTAATTTTCTCAAAAAAATTAAACGCATTGATATGATTTTTTTTTATGAAAGAGTAGCTAAATGATGTCTAAGCAAGCTCGCGAAAACCACATCTCGATATCTTGTCCCTAACCTAAAAGTCAGGACAAAGAAAAAGGCACTTCTTGATATTTGCCGGAAATATAATATAAAAAATACTTTTCTGGGACACCCGGTTTACAAAAAATATTACATGAAAAACTTGATATTGGATCCTATAACTTTTATATACAACAGTTACACGAGTACTCAAATTTAAAATCCAATTGCTCGCTTTTGACTATGTAGATCATGATGTATTATTAAAAAAATAAATAATATGGTTGTACTGTCATTTGGCTTAAAACACTCATGTAAATAATCGATCCTTGATTGTAAAATAATCAAGATATTATATTACGAATTAATTAAATATAAACGCAGGGGTACCTCACGGATCAGTAGGTCCGATACTATTTTTAATCTATATCAATGATTTAATAAATTTAAATATAAATGGTAAGTTCGCAGTTTTTTTTGCCGAAGATACCGCAATATCCATAAAATTAATAAAAAAAATTATAGTAATATACAATCACTAACAAAATGGTGTGATAATAGGTACTTAACCTTCACTTTTAATAAGACAAAATTTATGACATTTAAATGCTGCCTTGATTTTAAATATTTTAAAATAAATCAAATTTTTGGGACTGATATTTGATCATAAATTAGATTTTACCAATCATGTACAGCAATTACTCAAATAGCAAATATTTGTTTTTTGTTTTTTAATTCTCGGAGGCTTGACAATTTATTATTTATTATTATCACAATTTCTAGAATTTCACTATAAACTCAAAAGCTTCACACCGATTGAAAATAGGTATAAAGTTCATTATACAAAAGATACTAAAATCTTCATGGAGAATCTAAAAATAAAAAAAAGACGGTTTCCATTTTAAAATTTAAATTGTAACGCAATATCTTATTTTTGAATCTCCCTAGAAATCAAAATTGACGTGTCCGAGCGTTTTCCCCCAAAATATACCAGGACAGTCATACACCCTTTTGTTGAGCCACCCTGTATATAAATTGTCATTGAAGCAAACAAGCAAACCTTTACTGCAAGTAGCTTGAAACAGTAAGACCCAAGCTAACCTGACAGACTAACAGACTTCTAACTAAAAGCAAAGAGATCGAACAAATAACGACGACGGAAAAAAAAATGACAATGGTCTCCAATCTAGCCGTAACAGTTTAGAAAAACTTCACTCACCTGGGTAACGGCGTGGGCGCCACTTGCACAGCCCCGCTGGCTGGCCCCCTAACGACCCCGTCTAGTCAATCTCTGCTGCTGACGTCCTTATCGCTGCCCTTCCCGCTGCCAGAATCGTTGCTGTGCATTCGCTGGTAGCTGGGCGGCTGCCTGACGAGGTTAGGATTGGACGGCGTACCGGGCGTGATGTCGCCCTTGCCGAGACGATTCATCAGGTTGTTGCAACTGTCCAGGCCGCGAGAGTTAAGTTCGCCGCGCATGAACCTGCAATCAAATAAATAATCCGGTCAAGCAAGCCATCACCTAATACAGCAATATCTGAGTTGTCAATATTATTTTAATTTGCGGTGAGGGACATCGAAATGCCACCGAGGCTTCGCGAGTGCATGCAGATCGTTTTCCAAGATCCTTTGTGGTTTCTCTCTTTGTCTGGGGAAAAAATGAAAAGTGTAGGTTATGAAACTGAGGCAAACTATACAGGGTGTCCTCAAAGTTGAGGCTTTACTTTAAACGGCATATAGATCTTGGAATGATGAGCAGCTTTTTCTAGTGATATATACACCAAAGTCTCAAGATTAACGAGATGTTAGGCTCCACAAAATAAATCTGACTTAAACGAAACCTAGTCTGTCCCCGATCAGGTCAAAGGAAACCACAATGGATCTAAAACGGCACAACTCATACAGCAATATCGGAGTTGTCGGTATTGTTTTAATTTATGGTCAGTATCTTCGAAATGCTGTCGAGGCTTCTCGAGTGCATGCAGATCGTTTTTCAAGATCCTTCGTGATTTCTTTTTTGTTTAGGGTTAAATGAAATATTTGGTGCATACAACTGACGAGAACAAGATTAACGAATTAAGTGTACGAATTTATCAATCTGTTGCATTCATTTTAAAAGCCTACACTAATGCTTGGCTTCATCGAACACATACATGTGTGTTTGAAATTTCTTCTCGATGAACGGTGAGTATTTTTTCGTTTATTTTTTTACTTTTTTGCTGAAAACGAGAGTCCCAACTTTCAGGATACCCTTTCTATCTTGGCTATCTGATCAATATTGCATGCAATGAGTAGAAACGCATACACTGGTCAGATTGTATTTTCAGGCGAGATACAAAATTGGACAAGAATTGGATTTCGACCGTTAGGCACTCAATCAGTAATATAAGAAAATGAACAATGGGTAGTCTCCCGCGTCCTATTTGCAGGTGTATACTAAATATTAGGATACGTCGAAACGTTTCCTCAATAATGAGGCCAAAATAGGAGCAAGAGTGACGATAAAAAAGTACAATTTTACATTTTTCCTCAGAAAATAAATATATATATATATATATATATATATATATATATTATATATATATAAAAAATTAAAGCTTCAGCCTTTTGTTGGGTACTTCGACAAAATTTAAGCAAAGAGGACTCTTTATACTTTCTTAATTCTCTCTAGCTTTCAATGGACTTTGCCATCATCATCAGGAGCTGCAATTACAATGATAACAGTAGCAACAAAAGTGCAAAATGAATTTAAATTGACTCAACTTACTTACTTAGTAGTATGTGAGGATGTTGCTAATTGTTGTTTACGTAACATGGTGAAACTGGACGTTTCCCTCATCCTATACGTAAACAACGATTAGCAACATCCTCACATACTACTGTAAGTTGAGTCAATTTAAATTCATTTTACACTTTTGTTGCTAATGTTATCATTGTAATTGCAGCTAGTGATGATGATGGCAAAGTCCATTGAAAGCTAGAGAAAATTAAAAAAGTATAAAGAGTCCTCTTTGCTTAAATTTTGTCGAAGTACCCAACAAAAGGCGGAAGCTTTAATTTTTCACCTAACTGGTCTAGACGACAATGACCACGTCTCAAGTTATATATATATATATATGAATACGCTTAAGTAAGTGCGAAAGGGCATTTCAAAAGCATAAAAAAGCGCTATAGCACTTTGCGAAACTTGAATCAACAGTATGAAAAAATCGAGAGCAAAGTAGCATTTTGTCAACAAATTTTAAAAAATAATAAACAACTAAAAAAAGGCGCGTTCCAAATGTCCGATGTCCGGGCTTTCTCACGCAAAAATCGCTAAAGCCGTAACTCCGTTATCTTCGGAGAAGATAGAAACCGAATACAGAAAAGCAAGTTTGAGACCGAAAAAATTTCATTTTTGATTTTTTTTCTGAAATGGGTGCCGAAACGGAAAAAACTCTTTCCGGATAATTAATAGTACTCGTCGAGGTGTACAAAATGTGATGGGCGAAATTCCTTGTCAGTTTGGCAGAAATGAGATATCGGAACTTTTACGAAAGTAAGTCATTTTTCTCGTTTTTTCTTTGAAAATTTCTAGTAAAAAAACTGAGACGCGGAATCAAAAAAGTGCCACGCTAACATGATCGCTCATCATTTAGGTATCGAATGAGACCTATCTCGAGTCGATATTTTGATAAACGGCGAAACGTAGCTTTTCAAGGTCTTCGTATTACGCGTTTTTTCGACTTTAACCTTTAACCTAAGGCTTTAGACAGAAAGGAATGAAGAAAAATCTCCATCAAGAGAAAAAAATAATTGTATGAGTTTCCGAAAAAAAATCAGGACCCTTGAAAACTCCATAAAAAATCGTTTCATATAATTTTGTTTCATCACAAAGATAAGCATATTATGTGCAATGCAAATCAGGAACAGAAAATATTTGATTTGAAAAACGTATTTTAAGGGTTATCGTTATTAGAACGTTCCATTTACTATGCAAGTATTTACTTAATTGCATCGATATGGAACAAAACAAGCTTTGCACCAAGACAGAGCAAGATGTGCGATTCTATTGGAAACATTGTCGACCTCCATACTAATAAATTTTGACACAAAAAGAATTAAAATAAAATACGACTTCGGTGTTATTTTGTCCGATCTATAGCTAGACCCTCAACACTTTGCTGTTTTTAAAAAATTAAGCAAACCAATATGGTAAATACGTTTATGTTTCCAAGTAATAACGTAAACTATTCTTACTCAATATAGTGTCCAAACTTGAATCTCATTCAAATTCTTAGTCACTGCTTAATAGTTTGTTTAACAATTCCATATTCAGCTCTACAATAAGCATAACAAAAAGCAAGCCAATTATGACCTAGATACATGTCCAGGTAATGCTTTAGTTTCAAATTATTGTTAGACCTTGAAGCGAACAAAATTGAGACATATCCTGCAATGCACAATAAAAGTAGAATAGAAGCTGTTAAAAACAGAAGAACTATCATTTCTTATTTACAAGTTGCCAATAAACGACAAAGTATTGTATTTACAACGATGCCAGTGGAATAACGCTTACGTCTAAAGTGTTTATATAATTATTTAAAACTAAGGCAAAAAGGTGAAAAGTAAAGAAGGAGGTAACGACTTCTTCAACGTCATTTATATATGACAACTTTGACACATACTTTTTCAATAATATCCTACTTTATAAATGAAAATGAATGGTTGAATCATGCTTTGCGGGAATAAAATTAAAATGCATAGAATGAGTGAAGTATAACTCACCTCAAAACGTACCAAATGAGGCATGTGAAAATGAAGAGAAATTAATATAACAGTTTTTTCGGTGCTGTTAGGTTGGTGCTACATATCTCTTATCATCTTATCAATTAGTATAAACAGTGATAATGAGATATACTTGGAATGTTACTCACATTGTTATTTGTACTTTCGTTTCGATAGAGATCACCGTTATGAAAAACAACAAGTGACTATTGACGGTCCCGTTAAAATCGTCTTTGCAAGCTTTTCCTTACTATTCTGGGAAGGAAAAAAGAGGAGAATTAACTTCTTCCACTTTGTCGTTGAAATGATAAACGCTAATCGTAGCAAGCGAAAATAAAGGTACATTTCGAGAAAGTATTCACTTTATTGATAAAAATTAACATGCTTAGGATGTGTGTATGATAGGTTGTTGTGCCTTTCAACCAGCAGTGACCTCATAGCCCCAAAGAAACCTAGAAAACCACATATACTGAAATTGATGATAGGAAATAGAATATTTTTCGCTAGTGTATCCCAGGAGCCCAAGAAAATGAAATTTACATCGAATTCATTAGTTTTACAAAATGGCAAATGTGTCAGTCACTATCTTGTATCATGTCGTTGAAACAATGACTCTTTGTATCAAGTAAAATTTTTTTGACACGAAATGTGAAAGAACCACGCAATTTCCTTATGGAAAACGAACTTCCGTTAAACTGGTTGAATTTCTGATATGATGCATGCAATGGGTACAACCTTCTAAACCCAAAGGGTTGTGAGATAAAAGAGACGAATTATTTCAGATTATAAAGCACATAGCACATTGTTACATTTTCGAGAGCTGAAGGTGACTAGTTGCTATTTCCGGTGCTCTGGTGTAGGAATTTTCTGCGGCCCACTGCCCGATTCTGTGAATAGTTCACACGCTGAGTTGCGCTTTTATAGGGTGGTGGGGTGGTTTTTAGTAGAAATCGGTCCCCTTGGTATTTTTTTTGTAGGAGCCTTTTTCTCACCCTCCTGGGGATTTAACCGTGCAGATAACTGCGAAATACAGGGTGGTGTCTTGATCAAACTATCAACTTTTGGACTGAGGTAGGTTTAGGTCAATTCACATATTTTGGTATGCAGTATCTCCAGTTTCGAGATTTCCCAACCTTCAGCAGACGACTACACTATTTCTTGAGGTCAAATACACCGATATCAGGAAATAATCGGGAACTCGGAAAAGAATCAAAACGAGGTTTAGAAGTAACTTTACATCAATTTTATGATACAAAACGTCCTAAATAGCCCATTACCTGACATTGAAATATTTCCGCAATAATGATAAATTCGGGGGTGCCTCAGGGATCAAATCTAGGGCCCCTATTATTCATAATGTATATTAACCACCTGGCATGCAATCTCAGCTGAACATCCATTTCAAAGTTTACAGCTTATATACTGGAAAAGGCTTCCCACACAAAATTCCACTGGAAGTAATGCATTTTGATACATTGGTTTACCGTCGGATTTCCAATCAATTTATATAAGTAGGGTAGTACAAAGTGGTAACTGTATCTTATACGTATAAGGCATGCTAACACAAAAGGAAGCATGCGGCGATTAGCGTTAAGCATCATGCAAATTTTACAGAGTATGCGCTGAAAGGTTGAAGCCTACCTTTCAAGTTTGTCCACGCACGCGTCTTGGTAATCGTGAATCCATCGGACTGCGTTGAAATGACATACTTGACGCATGTCTTCCGGTAGCTCGTCTGGTTCGGGAAAGGTGAAATTGTCTATTATTGGAATAATGTTGCAGTTCGCTGATAAAGCCGCCACAATCTCCTGGAAAAATCAGAGAAAAATTATGGGTATTAGGATCGTCTAGGAGTCAAGTTAGGGTTGGTTGAGGTACATAGGAAATACATTGCTATTTTCGTGTTACAAGAGTTCAGGTGTCCAGATGAATCGAAATTTAAATTCGAAAATTTTCAATTAAATTTTATTTTGAAATTAAAAAAAAAATGGATTTGAAAATTTTGAAAAAAATTGGAAAATTCCAAAATAAAAAAAACATTTTTGAAAATTTTTAAAATGATTTAAAATTCAAAAATGGAAATTCAATAGAAGTTGGAAAATTTTAAAATATGAATATTTTAAGATATTTTGGAAATCTGAATCTGTGAATTTTTGGAAAAAATTGGGGATTGCAAAGGAATTTTGATTTGTAAATACTGGAAAATATTTGGAAAATTCCGAAATTTGGAAAAAAATTTGGGGAATCGAAAATTTTGAAACATTTATGAAAATTTTGAAAATGATTTAAAATTTAAAATGGAAATTCAATAAAAGTTGGAAAATCTGAAAAATCAATATTTTTAGAAATTTTGGAAATCTGAATCTGTGAATTTTGGAAAAAATTGGGGATTTTAAAATTTGCGAAGGAATTTGGATTTGTAAATTGGCAAAACAATTGAATTTCAATTTCGGAAAAAATTGAAAATAATGAAAAAATTACACTTTAAAACTTTAAAAGAACACGCTGATAAAGCTGCCACAATTTCCTGAAAAATCAGAGAAAAATTATGGGTGTTAGGATCGTCATTTAGCGTAGGTAAAAATAATCATGTTGTGGCATAAAAAATAAGTACATAGGAACTAACTTGCTATTTCCCGTGTTAGGAAAGTTCAGGTGTCCAGATGAATCGAGTATTCTCTAAAATTTCTATTCGGAGAAATATCAATGTTTTTGGCACAAAAAGTATATTTTCCGTATTTCCCCTGTCTATCTATGTACAGGTGTCCTCAAATTTGAGACTTTCCTTTACAGGACTTACAGATTTCTTTAGTTTAAGGTGAGTGTCTTCAAAATGCTACCGAGGCTTCGCGATTGCATGCAGATCATTTTTAAAGATTATTTCGTTTTGTCAGCTCCTCCACCATTTTCAAATTTAGTTTGTTCCTTCAGCAAAAAAATGACTTGCTCGTACATTATATAAAATCTGATTTGAAGAGTTTTTTCGTTCCTCAAAAAATATATATATATATATAAAAAGTTATTATATGTGTTTTAAATACACAATGAAACAAAACTTTACATTTATTTTCGCAAACCCGGGTGTTTTTCGTCTAATATGATTAGGGTGAATTTCAAGAAGTCTGATTAACTTGAAAATTTGGACAGGGGTTAAGGACCGATATCAATACAATATTCAAAATTTTAATTTGAAAATTCTTAGCACAACTGTTTTTGAAATTTGGAAAAAAATGAATATGAAAATTTGAAAAATAATTGGAAAATTCCGAAATTTGGAAAAGAATCTGAAAAATTGGAAATTTTGACACATTTTAGAAAATTTTAGGAAAAAATTTAAAATTAAAAAGAATATTCAACAAAAATTGGAAAATTTAAGAATATTTTAAGAAATTTTGTAAATCTGTTAAGATTTGTGAATTTTGTAAAAAAATGGGACTCCTGAAATTTGGAAAGGAATTTGGATTTGTAAATTGAGAAAACAATTTCAGAATAATGAAACAGAATTTGAATTTCAAATTCGGAAAAATTTGAAAAATCATAATTTAAAACTCTAAAAGAACACGCTGATAAAGCTGCCACAATCTCCTGAAAAATCAGTGAAAAATTATGGGTATTAGGATCGTCTAGAAATTTGTCATTTAGCGTAGGTAAAAATAATCAAGTTTTGGCATAGAAAATAAATAAAAAATTTCTACTCGGAGAAACATCAATATTTTGGACACAAAAAGTGTATTTTGAGTATTTCCGCTATCTATCTATGTACAAGGTGTCCTCAAATTTGGGACTTTCCTTTTCAGGGCATATAGATCTTCTTTAATTTACGGTGAGTGTCTTCGAAACGCTACCGAGGCTTCGCGATTGCATGCAGATCATTTTTAGACTTACCCTGTGCACCCAGTCTTTTCGCTCCTGATCTCCTATGCACCTCTGCAACGCGCCGGGCGTCAGCACGAGCAGAAAATGCTTGGCCTTCTGTATGCTCTGCAGCAAATTGTTGTCGAACTTGCCCGCCTCCAGCCTCTCCACGTCGATGAACACGCTGAAGCCTCGCAGCTGCAAGTGGACTTTGAGCAGGCTGGCCAATTGCGAGCCGTTCGATCGTCGATAGCTGACGAACACGTCCAGCGGCTTGTCGATGTTGTCCTCGGTTAGGCCGTTGTCCAAGCCATTCTCCAGCTGACGGATACCTTCCATTATCCTGTACCTGTTGACAAGTACCAATTATTTGTAAGAGTATTTTGTGAACGAGAATTTTGGTGTTTTCGGTTTTAATGAAAAAAATATTATAATCATTTAAGAGTGTAAAGATAAGGATGCTCTGCATGGGAACCTCAATACCTGTGGGAGATACGACTTAGGTTAAAATAGGAAAAACTCGCGTTTTTTTCATGGCTTACTGAGATACTTGGGAAAAATCGTTTTTATTTTTTTCTGGCTGTATTTTAAATATCTTTTTTGAATAATTCCGATATTTTGATTATTATTTCAGATTTACCGTTATTAATTTTCCAGTAAAAAATTAATAAGTCGTAGACTTCCGACGTTTCATTGTAATAACAAATTAAAAAATACGATGTTGGCCGTTTTGAAGGTATTTTTATCCATCACAAATGTTTTTCAAGCACTTATTTGAAAAAACGCTTTTTTTTCAATTTCGACGTTTTGTAAAAAAGTCAGCCAGAACTTTTTATGTATCTCTCGATGTGAAGCTTGAATTTTGAAATTTTAAAAAAATTGGATTTGAACATTTGGGAAATAATTGGAAAAGTCCGAAATTTGGTAAATAATTTGAAGAGTTGTAACTTTTGAAAACTTTGGCAAAAATTTGGAAATTTGACTGAAGTTGGAAATTTTGAGGAAAAATTGAATTACATAGAAAAGTTTGTAAATTTTATATAAAATTTGGAAAAAATTGGAATTTTGACAAAATCTTGAATTATTTAAAAAAATTGGAATAGCTGAGCGAGTTTATCACGGATATGCCATGGCAGCGCGTAGCGGAGCGAGTTTGATTGCACTCGGAGGTTACGCAGAAGTATTGACATTATTGCATAAACATTTTTCTACAAAAACCTTAAATGCACGTTGTATAACATACTTAATTTAGGATTTTTTTATAATTAAAATGAGTTTTTTGACCAACTTATCGAGAAGCGTCAAACAGAAAAAATATTCTTCTAAATTTGTCAGCCGAATCTTGAAAATTTTTGGAGTTCTTTTAACTGCCAAAAAAATTATAAAACGTTTCATGGTAATAAAATAATCTTGAATTTGAAAAAATGTTTATAAAAATGGAATTTTGAAATTAAAAAAAAATGGATTCCAAATTTTGTAAAATAATTGGAAAATTCCGACATTTGGAAAGTAATTTGAAGAGCTGGAAATATCAAAGAAAGAATGAAATGAAATAATTGGAACTCAAAAGACAAAATTGAAAATTTGATAAAAGCTGAAAATTTTGAAAAATTTTGGAAATTTGCTAAACTGGAAATTTTGGAAAAAAATTGGGAATTATGAAAACGAATTTGATCTTGAAAATTGGGGAAACAATTTCTGCATCTTGAAACAAAATTTGAATTCTAAATTCGGGAAAAAACTTGAAAATTATGAAAAAATATACTTTAAAGCACGATTTACTTGACTTGCAAATCGAACTAGGTATAATTTAGTAGAAGTGTATATTTTTTGAGTTCTTTCAACAATATAATTAGATTTGGAATTTTAGGTTTAGAATGCCAAAAAAAGATTATAAAACGTTCAAAGGTAAAACATAAAATGTGACTGGAAGACCAAGAAAAAATCGCATTTTTTGACACTTTTTTATTAGCAGCATGAAATCGGAATCTTCCACCCTATATTTCACCAATTTCAAGGAGTCTGATTAACTTGGAAATTTGCAAGGTGGTCAAGGACAACAATAAATTCGAAAAATTTTTATAAATTGGAATTTTTAAATCTGGAAAAAATTGGATTTGAAAATTTGGAAGATAATTGGCAAATTCCGAAATTTGTAAAATAATTTGAAGGGTTGGAAATTTAGAAAAAAAATAAAAATCAAAAGAAAAAATTGGAAATTTGATGAGAGTTGGAAATTTTGAAAAAATTGAATATTTTGGGGAATTTTGGAAAATTTGGAAATTATGGACAAAAATTGTGAATTTTGAAATTTGGAAAGGAATTTGGATTTGGAAATTGGGAAAACAATTGGGGAATTTTGATACAAATTTGGCTTTAAATTCGGAAAAAATGAAAATTATAAAAAAATTATACTTCAAAACACTAAAAATACGCGCTTCGATAGCAAATCGAAGAAAAAGTAGAAAATAATTTTCAAGTATAGGGAAGTTTGTGTTACTGCAGCACTGCAATAATTTAGAATAAAATCAGCATAAAAATTAAGATATTAACAAGAAATAAAGTTATAGTAAAAAAGCGTGTGATGCTTGATATAAAATGATAGAATTATTTTTTTAGTTATTTACGAAATTGGATTATTATGAAAATAATGCTAACTATGCCCCAGGCTTTCTTACTATAATTTAATTTTTTGTTAATATCTTAATTTTGATAATGAATTTATTCCAAATTAATTAGTTGATTGTTGGACATTCTGTGCAGTAATAAAAACTCCTCTATCACTGAAAATCATTCTCTACTTTTTTTTTACTAAACCGTGTTTTCTAGTTTTCTTAAACCATCATTTATTCACTTTCTACCTCTTGCATATATCGACATTAATATAAATCTCAACTATTCTAAAAGATGCTTACCTGTGAATTGAGTTTTCGATTTGACATTCTTTGAGCAGTTGGTCTTCTGAGATCTTAAGAAGGTAGTCTTTCCTTTCAACGCCAGCGTTGAGTAAACTGTAGGTATATATCGAGAATTCAGCACCAAGCGACTGTAGGAAGTTATTGATGTTTGCTGTGTCTCGAGATGTGTAATCTGCCATCTTTTTGAGCTTCTGCAATTCACGGGTGAATCTGCGAAAACATTTACATGTAAGAGGAACGTATGTATACTCAGTACCGACGAATTCAGACTAAGTAAGGGAAGACAGTCAAGGATTTGATTGTCTCTTCATTCTCAAAGTGCACTTGATATAAGTCAATTTTTGACAGTTCTGTCATTAGTAGTTTTAGTGTTATCTTTTAAAAGTGCGATTGCGGAATTTTGTTCAAATTAAATTTGAAATAACTCTGTAACCTTTGCATCAAGGAGATATTTCAAATTTAATTTGAGCAAAATTTGAAATAACTCTGTAACCTTTGCATCAAGGAGATATTTCAAATTTAATTTGAACAAAATAAGAATTAACTCTGTAACCTTTGCATCAAAGAGTTATTTCAAATTTAATTTGAACAAAATTTGAAATAACTCTTTAACCTTTGCATCAAAGAGTTATTTCAAATTTAATTTGAACAAAACTTTGTTTGTACTGTCACGCAAAGTTAAGCGTACAAACAAATTTTTGTTCAAATTCAATTTGAAGTAACTCTTGGATGCAAAGGTTACAGAGTTAATTCATATTTTGTACAAATTAAATTTGAAATATCTCCTTGATGCAAAGGTTACAGAGTTATTTCGAATTCTGTTCAAATTAAATTTGAAATATCTCCTTGATGCAAAGGTTACAGAGTTATTTCAAATTTAATTTGAACAAAATTTTGTTTGTACGGTTAACTTTGCGTGACAGTACAAACAAAATTTTGTTCAAATTAAATTTGAAATAACTCTGTAACATTTGCATCAAAGAGTTATTTCAAATTTAATTTGAACAAAATTTTGTTTATACTGTCACGCAAAGTTAACCGGACAAACAAAATTTTGTTCAAATTAAATTTGAACTCTGTAACCTTTGCAACAAAGAGTTATTTTAAATTTTGTTCAAATTAAATTTGAAATATCTCTTTGATGCAAAGGTTACAGAGTTATTTCAAATTTAATTTAAATTTGAACTCTGTAACCTTTGCATCAAAGAGTTATTTTAAATTTTGTTCAAATTAAATTTGAAATATCTCTTTGATGCAAAGGTTACAGAGTTATTTCAAATTTAATTTGAACAAAATTTGAAATAACTCTTTGATGCAAAGGTTACAGAGTTATTTCAAATTTTGTTCAAATTAAATTTGAAATAGATCTTTGATGCAAAGGTTACAGAGTTATTTCAAATTTGGTTCAAATTAAATTTGAAATAACTCTGTAACCTTTGCATCAAAGAGTTATTTTAAATTTTGTTCAAATTCAATTTGAAATAACTCTTTAAACTTTGCATCTTTATTTCAAATTTAATTTGAACAAAATTTAAAATAACTCTTTGATGCAAAGGTTACAGAGTTATTTCAAATTTAATTTGAACAAAATTTGAAATAACTCTGTAACCTTTGCATCAAAGAGCTATTTCAAATTTAATTTGAACAAAATTTGAAATAACTCTGTAACCTTTGCATCAAAGAGTTATTTCAAATTTTGTTCAAATTAAATTTGAAATAACTCTGTAACCTTTGCATCAAAGAGATATTTCAAATTTAATTTGAACAAAATTTAAAATAACTCTTTGATGCAAAGGTTACAGAGTTCAAATTTAATTTGAACAAAATTTTGTTTGTCCGGTTAACTTTGCGTGACAGTATAAACAAAATTTTGTTCAAATTAAATTTGAAATAACTCTTTGATGCAAATGTTACAGAGTTATTTCAAATTTAATTTGAACAAAATTTAATTTGAACAAAATTTTGTTTGTACTGTCACGCAAAGTTAACCGTACAAACAAAATTTTGTTCAAATTAAATTTGAACTCTGTAACCTTTGCATCAAAGAGTTATTTTAAATTTTGTTCAAATTAAATTTGAAATATCTCTTTGATGCAAAGGTTACAGAGTTATTTCAAATTTAATTTGAACAAAATTTGAAATAACTCTGTAACCTTTGCATCAAAGAGATATTTCAAATTTAATTTGAACAAAATTTAAAATAACTCTTTGATGCAAAGGTTACAGAGTTATTTCAAATTTTGTTCAAATTAAATTTGAAATAGCTCTTTGATGCAAAGGTTACAGAGTTATTTCAAATTCTGTTCAAATTAAATTTGAAATAACTCTGTAACCTTTGCATCAAGGAGATATTTCAAATTTAATTTGAACAAAATTTGAAATAACTCTGTAACCTTTGCATCAAAGAGTTATTTCAAATTTTGTTCAAATTAAATTTGAAATAACTCTGTAACCTTTGCATCAAAGAGTTATTTTAAATTTTGTTCAAATTCAATTTGAAATAACTCTTTAAACTTTGCATCAAAGAGTTATTTCAAATTTAATTTGAACAAAATTTGAAATAACTCTGTAACCTTTGCATCAAAGAGTTATTTTAAATTTTGTTCAAATTAAATTTGAAATATCTCTTTGATGCAAAGGTTACAGAGTTATTTCAAATTTTGTTCAAATTAAATTTGAAATATCTCCTTGATGCAAAGGTTACAGAGTTATTTCAAATTTAATTTGAACAGAATTTGAAATAACTCTGTAACCTTTGCATCAAAGAGTTATTTCAAATTTAATTTGAACAAAATTTGAAATAACTCTGTAACCTTTGCATCAAAGAGTTATTTTAAATTTTGTTCAAATTAAATTTGAAATATCTCTTTGATGCAAAGGTTACAGAGTTATTTCAAATTTAATTTGAACAAAATTTGAAATAACTCTTTGATGCAAAAGTTACAGAGTTATTTCAAATTTTGTTCAAATTAAATTTGAAATAACTCTTTGATGCAAAGGTTAAAGAGTTATTTTAAACTGAATTTGAACAAAATTTAAAATAACTCTTTGATGCAAAGGTTTCAGAGTTATTTCAAATTTGAACAAAATTTTGTTTGTACGGTTAACTTTGCGTGACAGTCTAGTACTATATATTAATAATTCAAACTGAATCAAGTCCAAAGGCAAACTTCTACCACTAACCTTTTCCTCTTGATGCCATTCGTGAGTCCAATATCCGCCATGAGATTATCTTCGGTCAGTTGCAACAGCAGGTCCCCGTCCACCCGGCTCTCCACGAAACTGGGCGCGATCTCCGAGAACCCGATCTGCTTCACCCACTCCTCGACATCCTCCACGGACCACAGAGGCACCTGCTGGCTCAACTTGTGCGGCACTTCCTCTCCGATCAGCCTCAACGCTTGAGCAGCATATTTCGAGGCGACCGCGTTCGGGCAACTGGCTACTTTTTTTAACTGCTCCACCGCGCCGATCTCAGCGAACATTTGAGTATTGCCTTGCTGTTTCTTGATGCCCGCTTCCATGCAGAAGTGGAAGGCGGCGAGGTTTCGCGCTTCCTCTCGCTTAGAGTTCAGCACAGGAACCAAGTTTTTCAGCCACGTTTTGCTTTGACCGTGCGCGTGCGCCAGGTTGGACTTTGCGAACTCCGAGGGGTTGTGCGACGTGACGAAAGGCTCCACCAAGCCCAAAGTGCCTGATGTGAGCACCTCGGCTTCTATTTCCGGGTTGGCGACTAGTACTGTTATCGCCAAGCAAGCGTAGTATTTGATATTGTCGTCGGTATGGAATGCTAAGGGGAACAGCCACATCGGAACCTTTCTCTTGATCATAGCTTCCTGGTTCTCTGCACCACCGTAAAGACTTAAGTTTGCCAAAGCTCCAGCGCAGTGTCTCAAGGTTTCAACGTCGCTCTTTCTACATTCAAACAGCAGGGCGTCTAAACCTCCTAGTCTCACCACGTCGCTACAAGTTTCTTCACTATGTTTAAAGAGGTGTTCCAAGATTCCAGTTCCAACTCTTGAATGATCCACCGAATTGGATTTTTTCGTACAAACGCAGGCGACGTTTACAACTTTATCTAATCCATTCTCGACGACATGCGCCCTGTTTTCGGCTGTCAGACATTGCTCCAACAGCCTGGCACTAGCGAACTGCAGCTCCTTATCGCCCTTGGTGCAGTTATTCATGATGAGATCCAATCCCCCGCAGTTTCTTAACGCGTTGCAAAGCGTGTAGCCGAGTTCGTGCCCGAAAGTGGGCACCGCCCACGCTTTGCACATGACGTCGTTGATTTTGTTAAGCAATTGCGGGGCGTTCTTGCTTTGATCCAGCTTTTGCAAGCAGCGGATGGATACGTCCAGGTATGTGGAGTATTTGTGGATAGCGCGTTCGATATCCTGGACATTTGAAGCGGCGGATAAGCTGTCCAGGTCGTCTAGAGAAGTGGCCAGGATTTCGTCCTCGGGATTGCCGTTCATCAGCTGAAACTAAATACGGTATATTTTGTAACAGTTTCTTTTTATGGTCGACTAGAAATTAATTATGCCTTGATGAAGTGAATTATTACAACGTTTTTCTTATTTAGAATAATAATTTTATAACAGTTCTCAAAAATATTGAATTTTATTTTTATCGCAAAACACTTGTGCTAATGGTTATTTGGTGGATGTTTCTATTCGACGGTATGGTCAACGCAGGGATGACCATTGACCACGGAACTGTCGTTGTGAGGTTAAATCTCATAATTTTTTATAATTTCAGTAGACCTCAAATACGTGATTTGGGGCTATTTCCGTTGCGCTGGTGTAGCAGTTCAGCGGCCACAACCTGCGTTAGTGAATAAATTTCACACCCAGTGCTGAAAATTTGCCGGGTTGTGGAGATTTTTATAGAAATCGGCCTCCATTGATGAATTTTGTTGTTAAGGCCTCTTTCTCAAGGTCTTGAAGATTTAGTCGTTGTTGCAGCTACACCTAAACCATCGAGTTGGGGGCTAGTACCAACTAATTTCCTTTTGCTTGTCTCCTCTTCTTTTGAATTTGTTTTTTTGTCCAATAAATGTTTGTCTGCCTTGCGAATTTGTGTTTCTTTTAGCTCCAGAGACCCATCATTTGGAGGTTAGTTAAGTTTTGATAGTCCGTAAGGCACTATTTTTTATTTCTTTTCCTAGTTCCTGGTGCCCAAATCTCAACCATTTGTTTTAAAGACCAAAGTACAAAGAACCACACATTATCTACCAACTGAGCACAGGGTTATTTTTTACGCAGAATAATAATTTATTTAATTGGAATAGTCAGCATACCTAAGCGTACTATACAGGACTTTGAAGCTGAGTCATTTATTTTAACAGTGAGTAGATCTGATCAAAAGAAATGTTTTTTTCCTTTACCATTTTTCTGGTAAAATTAAAGTAACAAAGTTATAGCCCTTTGGAAGTTTGAGTACCACCCTGTCTCAATAATAATATTATGTGCTCGTGTTTGGCAACAACGGATATAATCCGCCTTATCGGTTCATCGCATCGGAAACAAAAAAGCGAAAGAATTTGGAACGATGTTTTTACAATTATTTTATTCAGTTGTATACAGTCAGTGTCAGTCGGTAACGCGTGACTGAATAGTGGTGTCTGGTGCGTGGCTCAAACGAAATCAAAAATGGCACATGTTTACGAAAATGCTGAACTTGTGGACATGATTCTTATTTACGCGGCATCACGGATTTATGCGGATCGGTTTCCCAATCGAGTGCAACCAACCCCTCGTGCCTTTATTAATGTAGTACAAAGGGCTCGTGAATCAGGTGACTTAAGACCTCACAGGGGAGGGTATGCCGGTGCTCCAAGACCGCACGATCAAATACAGGTCGGCACTGAAATACTTGTCGGGAGGATACTTTATAAAACAAGGTAACATTTTTTTTTTATTTTTACACACATATTTTGGTTTATCTTCCTTCTACAATCATTATCTGAAAATTAATGACTCAACTTCAAAGTCACCCTGTATAGTGTGTCAAAGATCAATATGGTCGTTACTATTAGAGTTGCAGAAAAAAAGTTGAATACAAAAGTTATAGGCAGAGCTAAGGGCTAGTATTTCTGTTGAAAATATAGCCACTTTTTCGCCCAAGTCATTGCCACAAATTTATGGGACACCCTGTATAGTTTGAATATTTTGAAAATTTTAGGTTGTAGCCCTTGGCTATGTCTACAACTTTTATATTTAACTCCAACAGTAACGCACTATTTGGACACTCTGTATATGTTCAAACAATTACACATTTAACGCAAAATATTTGAATAGTCATGAACGCAGTAGTAGGATTTTTGGATTGAAAATATTTCAGTCTATATTTGAAATGAGCCACGTTTGTACAAAACTTCATGGAATCAAGCAATTTGTTAAAGAGTGGCCCTAATGTTATTTGGCAACCTAAAGGTGACCTTGGATTTGACAATAAATGCGTAGAAAAAATGGCGAATATGTAGAAAAATCGCTTCATGATCAATTTCTAGTTATAAATTCGTTTTTTCAAATAAAAACTTCTTTGTGGCCGAAAAAAATGTGGGAACCCTATTTTTAAGACAACCCTCGTAATTAAGGATTCTCAAAGACTATTCCAGGAGAGGTTTGGGACAATATTGAGTCCGAGGAATTTGACGCTGTCATGAAATAAAAGTTTCTCTTCACCCAAACCAACATCTATTTCCTTAACACTTTTCTGGACGTGATGAGATTAGGCTTCTAGTCAGAAATAATTTAATATTAGTTTTTTCAACTAAATTATTGCACTTAACTCACAGAACTGTGTCACTTTATCAGAGATCAAAATGGAAAAATCAGCTGCAAATGTTCGTTTCAGTATCGATAGTATCAAATTTGTTTACGTAGAGAATAAACAAGAATGGACCCAACATCGAGCCTTGAGGGACCCCAACATCTACAGGGTGTCCCAGAAGTCGACGTCAAGCCGAAACCGGGTGATAGGCAACAGAAAAATATTTAAAAAAATGTTATATATGTGTTTTGAAAATTATAGGTAATATAGAATATAAAATATAGAAATTTCACACCCTACGGCAGTCTGTCAACTCCTGTTACTACAAATATTAACTTTTTTTGGATTTTATTTTTACAATGTAATGATGAATAATGCATTTTCAAACTGGTGTCTCAACCTTACTGCCAACTTTTCTTGTTCAGGAAAAATTGCCACTTATTTCCCAACCAAGTATTCCAAAGTAAAACTTTGCTCAACTTTAACTGGCTGTACTGGAAAAAAATATACTACGAGAGTTTGGCAAGTACCCTTAAAAGTTGGGGCATTTAATAAGGATTCCAAAATGGTATAACACTTAGAAAATTACTCGTTAACTTATGCACAATTTTTATTTGAAGAAAAACTGATGAAAATTTTTCAAAATTTCCTAATTAAACAGCGATTATGAAAACGCACAAGGACCCTCAAGGATAACTGTTTGCACAACAGTGGGCGTCAAAATGCTGCTGATGATGATTTACCTTTACAGCAAATGCTCAAACTGTTTTCCTTCAGCCGCAATTCACGCTCGACATCTTCTTAAAAAAGATCGGGTTATTAAACGAGCGAATCCACGGTTATTAACAAACTCAGCTGCTTTCAATAGTCTTTGCCGTAGCTCAGCTACATTTTGAATCGGCTTGAAATACACTTTTTCTTTTACAGTTCCCCAGTAAAAAAAATCTAACAGATTCAAATCTGGTGACCGGGCTGGCCACAGTATTGTACCAGACCGCCCTATCCATCTGCCTGGAAAGTTTTGATCGAGATACTCTCTCACTGAGAGTGCATAGTGCGCTGGGCAGCCATCATGCTGAAACCACATGTCCCTGTAAATACTCAGTGGCACGTCCTCCAATAAATTTTCTAAATGATTTTGCAAAAAAACTAAATAAACCTCAGCAGTCAAAGTCTCTGGGAACTCAAACGGACCGATTATTTTACCATTTAAAATTCCTGTCCAATGGTTTATCTTGAAGCGATATTGAGATTTATCTTCTCTCATCAAATGTGGGTTTGCTACGTGCCACTCGAGTAAGTTATGCAGGTTCATGTACCCATCTTTCTTAAATGTGGTCTCATCTGACCATAAAATTTTTTCAAAGGACCGTGGATCTTCCCTGTGTCTTTCTAACATTGTGCGACAAAAAGCAACTCGGGGCTCATAATCCCGGGGCAGAAGAGCTTGAACACGCTGTACGTGGTATGGATGGAGCACGTTTTTTTGCAAGATTCTATGGGCTGTACTTTTGGGCACACCTGTTTTTAGTTCTATTGCACGCACTGAAGTACTCGGGTCTTCTTCGACAGCTCCTAGCACCACGTCTTCGTAAGGAAGGAAAGATCTTCCCTCACCGTGTGATTGGTTTGGTAGTTGGCCCTCTGAGAACAGTAAGCGGTGCACATTTGTGAACACTCGATGATCTGGATGACGAGCTGCATTCGGGTACCTCTCACAGTAAAGTCTCGCTGCAGCACTAGCGTTGCATCTGCATTCCCCATAAATGAGGTGCATGTTAGCATATTCTTGTACGGTGTACACGGACATAGCGGCACTGCACAATCACACTATCAAAGATAGTCTAAGGAAAGCAAATGTTGTTTTGAAGAGCAATTAAACAGTCCAAATCCAGTGCAGTAAACGAAGGAGTACTGATCGGTATCAAAGTGTGCAATAGCAAGTAAGTGATGTGCTTTATCCATACCACATACAGCGTGTTCAACCTCTCCTGCCCTGGGATTATGAGCCCCGAGTTGCTTTTTGTTGCACAATGTTAGAAAGACACAGGAAAGATCCACAGTTCTTTGAAAAAATGGTCGGATGAGACCACATTTAAGAAAGATGGGTACATGAACCTGCATAACTTACACGAGTGGCACGTAGCAAACCCACATTTGATGAGAGAAGATAAATCTCAATATCGCTTCAAGATAAACCATTGGACAGGAATTTTAAATGGTAAAATAATCGGTCCGTTTGACTTCCCAGAGACTTTGACTGCTGAAGTTTATTTGGATTTTTAGAAAAATCATGTACAAAATTTATTGGTGGACGTGCCACTGAGTATTTACAGGGACATGTGGTTTCAGCATGATGGCTGCCCAGCGCACTATGCACTATCAGTGAGAGAGTGTCTCGATCAAAGCTTTCCAGGCAGATGGATATGGCGGTCTGGTACAATACCGTGGCCAGACCGATCACCTGATTTGAATCCTTTAGATTTTTTTACTGGGGAACTATAAAAGAAAAAGTGTATTTCAAGCCGATTCAAAATGTAGCTGAGCTACGGCAAAGACTATTGGCAGCAGCTGAGTTTGTTAATAACCGTGGATTCGCTCGTTTAATAACCCGATCTTTTTTAAGAAGATGTCGAGCGCGTATTGCGGCTGAAGGAAAACAGTTTGAGCATTTGCTGTAAAGGTAAATCATCATCAGCAGCATTTTGAC